AAACTGTCCTGTTACAACAGCTAACATTATAAAAAGCCATCTCTCTTTCTACAGTCTCTCTTCAAATCTTCCTCGCTCTCTCTCCTCCCCTATCATGAGTGGACACGCCCCTACTGCTGATTTACTCGCTCTCTCCTCCCCTATCATGAGTGGACACGCCCCCTAGTGCTGATTTGCTCACTCTCTCCTCCCCTATCATGAGTGGACACGCCCCCTACTGCTGATTTACTCGCTCTCTTCCTCCCCTATCAATGAGTGGACACGTCCCCTAGTGCTGATTTGCTCACTCTCTCCTCCCTATCATGAGTGGACACGCCCCCTACTGCTGATTTGCTCACTCTCTCCTCCCTATCATGAGTGGACACGCCCTACTGCTGATTGGCTCACTCTCTCCTCCCTATCATGAGTGGCACCCCCCTACTGCTGATTTACTCGCTCTCTCCTCCCCTATCATGAGTGGACACGCCCCTAGTGCTGATTTGCTCGCTCTCTCCTCCCTATCATGAGTGGACACGCCCCTAGTGCTGATTTGCTCACTCTCTCCTCCCCTATCATGAGTGGACACGCCCCCTACTGCTGATTTGCTCACTCTCTCCTCCCCTATCATGAGTGGACACGCCCCTACTGCTGATTGGCTCACTCTCTCCTCCCTATCATGAGTGGACACGCCCCCTACTGCTGATTTGCTCACTCTCTCCTCACCCATCATGAGTGGACACGCCCCCTACTGCTGATTTGCTCACTCTCTCCTCCCCTATCATGAGTGGACACGCCCCCTACTGCTGATTTACTCGCTCTCTCCCCCCTATCATGAGTGGACACGCCCCTAGTGCTGATTTGCTCGCTCTCTCCTCCCTATCATGAGTGGACACGCCCCTAGTGCTGATTTGCTCACTCTCTCCTCCCCTATCATGAGTGGACACGCCCCCTACTGCTGATTGCTCACTCTCTCCTCCCCTATCATGAGTGGACACGCCCCTACTGCTGATTGGCTCACTCTCTCCTCCCCTATCATGAGTGGACACGCCCCTACTGCTGATTTGCTCACTCTCTCCTCACCCATCATGAGTGGACACGCCCCTACTGCTGATTTGCTCACTCTCTCCTCACCCATCATGAGTGGACACGCCCCCTACTGCTGATTTGCTCACTCTCTCCTCCCCATCATGAGTGGACACGCCCCCTACTGCTGATTTGCTCACTCTCTCCTCCCCTATCATGAGTGGACACGCCCCCTACTGCTGATTTGCTCACTCTCTCCTCCCCTATCATGAGTGGACACGCCCCCTACTGCTGATTTGCTCACTCTCTCCTCCCCATCATGAGTGGACACGCCCCCTACTGCTGATTTGCTCACTCTCTCCTCCCCATCATGAGTGGACACGCCCCCTACTGCTGATCTGAGACCAGCAACTGTCTGTTTACTGATATTCTTCTAAATATCAGAAAATCTGCTGAATACATTTGAAAACGGTAAAACCCAACCGTTCAACTCTGGGGGAGTGGTAAAATGAGCCTATTTCCAAAAAAAGTGGAGTATCCCTTTAACAAACATTTAAGTATTATTCAATATACATACTCAGTGACTGATACAATGCGTCATGGAGTACACTCGTTTAGATCGCACTCATGCGTTATACTCAAGGCCAAAAGCCACAATTGTGATGTTTTTGTTGTCGTTCTGTAAACACACCAGGTCCCACTGCAGCTGATTGAAAGTGTGGAGTGTCGGGATCTGACGCAGCTGCACCTCACCTGCAAAGACTGCAAGGTCATCAGGTACGCTTGTGTCGCAGCGCTGCTCTGACCAACAAATGCCCTCGCTGTGCTTCATATTGTGAGGTAGACGGTAACGCTTTTGTTTGGAATAATGTGCACTGAAGAATCGAGCAAAATAATGTGTGTTCGGAAAGTAAAAGCACGTCCCAAAACTAGACTGAGACGCCCAGGCATTTAGTGGACTAAACCTTGACTGAATAAAAACAAGGCATGGTTAATTGTGCTTAATTTGTGACAACTTAGAAGTGCATTGTGTAATATTTAAGTTTAATCATTTAGCAGACGCTTTTATACAAAGTACAATACAAATAATTGGACAACAATATGCAAGTGCTATGACCCTTCCCAGTTTAATCGAATATATTTTTTAAATAAATATAGAATAGAAGAGGTAGTGTTATATTAATGGATCAGGTGTCGGGGGAAAAAATTTAGGAGGATCTGTTGACAAAAAAATGCAATATAATAGCCATAACTATGTGTTCATTGGTATATAATGAAGCGTTATGTGTTTATGAGCTTAGAATGAGCGCTTCTCTACACACACCGCGGGTCCGCTTACATCCACATGGCCCTGATGGACAAACGTGTTTCGTCACTGTGTTGTTCTTCATAATAAAAAGCTGCTAAAGCAAGCGAATAAAACACTGACACAATGCTGAACAAGCCACAGTAATATTTATAGTAATAATAAGTAAACCTAATTTCCTAATTTATCTTTGTAAAGAAACCTCATTGTTTAACTGCTACTCTCAGACGACGACATCACTTCCAATTGAGTGCAATTCTCAAACTCACCACTAGATGCTGCTAAAAAGGACACACTGCACCTTTAAATGTAGCCTGTTGTGTTCAGGTGTGCGTTCCAGTCGACGGAGCAGTGTCAGGATTGGCTGAGGAGGATTAGCGCAGTCGTGCGGCCGCCGGCCCGGTTACAGGAGCTCTTCGCCTTCGCCTTGCTCTCGTGCAGCGCCAGTGTGTCTGCTGAGGACAGAGAGGTGCATGATGGGATCTGCCGTGCAGGTACACACACATTAATACAGGTTCTTACTGACTAACCGCAGACTAATTGACATAAGTTTAAGCTAAAGCGCTAAAACTACTATGGAATGCCAAAGCTGCCGAAATAATAAATGAATAAACGCATAAATAAATATAAAAATAAATGTAAAAAAAAACACCAACAAAAGTAAATAAAAACACAAAGAAATGTTAAATAAATAAATTAATAAATGTCCCCACCCCCCTCATTACCATATGGATAAATAAATGTAGAAATAAATAAATTTGGAAAAAATACAATACATAAGGTAATAAAAGTATAAATGCAGTTTTTATTTATTTATATTTATTTATTATTTTGGCAATTTTTGCTGTCCATAAATTACAAACTGGATATAATTAGAAACCAAAACTAAAACTGAGAGCAATCAATCAACTACTAACTTGCGTTACTAATTGAAAAAGTAACTCAGATATTTAGTTGTAAATTTTAAGTTTAGTTACTAGTTACTTGAAAAAGTAATCTGATTACATTACTTGAAATGAGTTACACACACAACACTGGAAATGTAAAACCCGAGTTGTTAATCACAGATGTGTGTGTGTTAGCAGGAGGACGTCAGCGAAGGTTTAAGCGCGAGCTGGAGAGGATGGGCTTCGACACACACAGTGCCTGGAGAATCTCCAACATCAACACACACTACAGGTGAAACACACTCCTGAAACACACCAACCGCTCGCGCGCACAAGCTGCTTCATCACTAGACGTGTGTGTGTGTGTGTTCTCTCAGGGTTTGTGCCAGTTACCCAGAGCAGATCATCGTTCCCGCTGCGGTGTCGGACCAGGAGCTGGAGAGCGTGGCGGCGTTTAGATCCTGGAAGAGGATCCCGGCAGTCGTTTACAGGTGTTTCTGAGCTCGACTGTTCTGGGATCAGTACAGGTTAAGCTGTGTTGACAGAAGGGTTGGGGATCGTTTCAATTTTAACGATTTCGATTCTGCTTATCGATTCCAATATGGTAAAATAAAAACTTGGATTTCATTACATTTTCATTCACACTGTGATACCAGCTCACAGTGATTGGTGTCGGGTGCCCGCTATGAAAACAGTAACTTTCTCAAATGTTTACAGATTAAGCGGGAACTGTAATCAAATGTAAAATAACACTGCACTTTATAAATAAAATATACATTACAAATATAGTTACAAAAGTTATTCAGTGAATTTTCTGTATTGTGATTAGTGTTATTATAGAGACGGCAGGAACATTAGCGCCGCCACTTTAAGAGTCGCGCTTCAATCGTTTAAAGACATATTGGGATGCTCACGAAGGACTCGATGAGAAGAATCGAAACTTTATTTTTATAACAAGTATTCGATTCCTGTCCTCAAGTATTTGATTCCAGAACTGGAATCGATTTTCAATTCCCAACCCTAGTTGACTATGAAAATAAATAACTGCATCACTCATTTCATGACCTTATGAAGTCATTGAATACATTCAGGTAATGCTAGAAAAGGAAGTTGCATTACCATCCAGTCACACTGAGTTAGCAGAAGTTTAGATGATGTAGACTCAAGATGATGTAGAATTAAAGGGGTCATGAATTGAGAAATCAAATTTTCCTTGATAATTTTGGCACTTTGTACTATAAAAATGTCCTTTAAGTTTCAGAACTTAGTTAGTTTCCTCGTTTTATTGAAACCAAGCTCTGAAAACGACTCATTTTGGATTTTGTCGCATGATTACGTCATAGTGCGAAGAAAGCCCGCCTCCCCAGAAGACGGTCGACGCCCACTTCTACATCATCACCTCGTTAGCCCCGCCCACTGATTCACGCGTCATGTTGCAATGAATACAAAAGCGGCGCAAACACAGGATTATTACAGCAACTAAACCAGGATTACAACTTTATTGAAGCGTGGATGAACTTTATTTTGAAAAAAGTTCCCGTTAAAGCGCTTCATTTTAATAAAAGACATCATCTGTTTTCTCATCAGTAAAGCTGAACGACAGCGTGACAAACATATTCATTCATAATTCTGTTCAAATCACTGTAAATGATCATTTGTCAACTATAACTGTAAAGTACTTTAAAATGACGTGTATTGTGCTATACAAATAAATGTGAATTGAACTAAAGTTGTTTTTCGCTGTGTAATCTGCCACAATGTGTTTAAGTACTCACCTTTACCTAACCTTTGACCCAGACACCAGAGTTCGGGCGCTGTGATTGGTCGATGTGGGCAGCCAGAGGTCAGCTGGTGGGGTTGGAGAAATGCCGACGATGAGCGTTTGGTTCAAGCCATCGCTAAAGCCTGTGTCACGGATCCGGCCTTGAGCGCGGCTCATGCTAACGGCTCATGCGTTCGCCATCACGCCAAGGCTTCGCTCGGTCACTCCGGTGAGTGAGCGGCCGAGAACTTGAATTTAATAAGTCCTGGAAAACCCTGGAAATCAGCCATATTTAAGAAAAGTATTGATAAAACAATATTTTCCTCACAAAAATATAGTCTGACATAGATAGAGGCATTTCTCATGTCTCTGAGAGTGATGTTGCTCATTAATATCCAAGTATATGATATGATAGGTCCATCATATATTCATGGAAATAAATGAGTTTGAATAAGTAAAGCGATATCTTTGTCATATTATCCTTTCAATGATTAAAGTTTCCAGTCATTGCATGTGCTGCACTTCACTGTTTTATTAGTGTATTTTATTCATCTATTTAACTTTTTTAGAATTTAATAGATAGTAAAGATATTGTTTGTTGTAAGTGAGAGATGATCTCAGTCCGTCAAAACCAAGAAAGTAGTGCTTGAAAATTATTTGTTTTCAACGCAGCTGCTCATTTACTTTCTGTTTTCACATCAGGTTCTCACACGGCCAATGGGAGCGTAGAGACGGAGCCCAATGCCACGCCCCCTCAGAAGCTGTTAATAATGGACGCCCGGTCGTACGCGGCGGCGGTAGCCAATCGGGCGAAGGGAGGCGGGTGTGAGTGTCCAGGTAAAGCAGAACACATGTTCTCCCTGATAGCGCTGGGAAGTGAAAATCAATACTTGTTATAAAATTCAAATTTCGATTCGATTGCGAGCATTTCAATAGTGCGAGACGACTCTGTTTTCAGTGCTGAGGGTGTGTGTAACATTAAATTGGACCTGCTCCGCTCTTAAAGGTGCAGTGTGTAGATTTCAGCGGCATCTAGTGGTTCGGTTGCGAGTTGCACTAATGGCTCCGCCCACTGCTCACCCCTCCCTTTCGAAGAAGCTACGCTGGCTCTTTTATCAGCTGTGGCGAACGTAAGCACATTTATCCCCACATAACACAGCGAAGGAGAAGAACTAAGTTACATGAAACAGTCCAACTACATATTTTACACTGACATGGGAAAAGTCACAACTCGCGGACGGTGTCTATGGCGCTTCTCTTTCAAGGTAGTGGCGAACGTGTGTTCGCGTTCGGCTACGGTAGAAACGTGACGGCACAATATGTCGACCTTCATAGAAGGGGATTCCCGCGGTTATGGAGATATAAATGTCTCATTCTAAGGTAATAGATACATAACGGTTCATTGAGTAAGGTCTTTATACACCACTTAACACATGGTTATGGATGTTATATTGCATTTCTGTCAATAAATTATTATACATTGCAGCTTTAAAGTGACAGTGCTAATAATCCTGCCGTCTCTATAATAACTCGAATTAGAGCCAGACCGATATATCGGTAGACCGATATTAGGCATTTTACAAACTATCGGTATCGGCAGTTATAATGGCTGATAAATGAATATTTCAAAAATAAAATAAAAATGGATGAAACACGCTTCAACCATGTCATGTTGGAGTTGTATAATTTTGTCCACCAGAGGGCACTCTACACCATCCCTGGCAACGCTAGTTTATAACGCGCAACACATTCTAGCTAACCACAAAGCTAGCTAATGCCACTATCATCAGTGGAATTTAATGAGCTTTGTTAATTAATTAATGAGCTTTGGCTCTGTTGCGACAATAAAAGAAACAAGTTTCTTTTTAAAATGCATGATCATATTATTTTTAATTAAAACTCATACATAACTACAAATAACTAATGTTAGGGAAATCTGTTAATGTTTTGTTGTGCGTTCCTGAAAAAAATAAAATAAAAAAATATCGGATTTTAAAACCAACAAATATTTGTATGGGTATCGGCCTTCAGAATCCTTTATCGGTCGGGCTCTAACTCTAATCACACTACAAGACTACAAATTCTACAAAAGACTACAAAACACTACAAATTCACTTGATCTTCACTGAATAACTATATTTGTAATGTATGTGCAGTGTTATTTTACATCTGATTACAGTTTCTGCACTTGAAATCTTAAAACACTGTTTATTTCACTGGTATCTTTGTTCAGTTGTGTCTATTTGAGTGATTGCTGATTATTTATGTGTTGAGTGTTTATTGTCTTTAATAATGCTGGAAAGTTATATTAGTTCAGCTAGTTGTTTTTAAACCACAGGCAAACGCTTCTTGTGTAAGTGCTCTTCAGCTGTTGATTTGTGTTCATGATATTCAGATACTATTACATGTTTTGCATTAATGATATCTTAACCTTATTGGAATCGAAAAGCAGAATCGTTAAAATTCAACCCTAATTCCTGATCTCTCGCTCATACATCTTCCCCTGTGTGTGTGTGTAGAGTACTATCCCAGCTGTGAGGTGATATTCATGGGTATGGCCAACATCCACTCCATCCGGAGGAGCTTCCAGTGTTTGCGGACTCTCTGCGCTCAAGTCCCGGATCCGGTGAAGTGAGTGTTCACGATGAGCACCTTTGGAGACAGAGACAGTGTTGCTTTTATTTAGTAATGCACCGATTTCAAAAGTCTGGTCAAATTAGAAACCTTATGCTATGGTTAAAAAATAAACCTTTGATATATATCTCATGCATGGCTGTGACGGCTGGGGCAGGACGCCTCAGATAAATATACATATTAGAGCCTGACCGATAAAGGATTTTGAAGGCTGATACCGATACAAATATTTTTGGGTTTTAAAATCCGATATATCGGCCGATATTTTATTTATTTAAACTGGAGATGATTAGTCACAAATTTTGTCCTGCTTATTCGAGTTCAGAGAACTGATGGGGATGTTCTTTTAATTGTTATTCAAGCAATGTATGTCTCGTGACCAACTCAACGAGTGTTGCCAACAGGAACGGTGTAGAGCGCCCTCTGGTGGACAAACTATACAACTCCAACACTCATGACGTAGTTCAAGCGTGATTCGTCCGTTTTTATTTTATTTTTGAAATATTCATTTATCGGCCATTATAACTGCCGATACCGATAGTTTGGAAAATGCCTAATATCGGTCTACCGATATATCGGTCTGGCTCTAATACATATATAAATAAATAAGCATATCTGTATGTGTGTTGTGCGTGTGCTAGCTGGCTGTCGGCGCTGGAGGGCACTAAATGGCTCCAGCATCTGTCTCTGCTGCTGAAAGCGTGTCTCCTGGTGGTGAGCGCTGTGGACCGGGACCACAGGCCGGTTCTGGTGCACTGCTCCGACGGCTGGGACCGGACGCCTCAGATCGTGGCTCTGTCCAAACTCCTGCTCGACCCCTTCTACAGGACCATCGAGGTCTCGTGCCCTCGGCACTCTATTTATTTTAGAAGAACTCCAGTCCAAAAATACTTAAAGGTGCAATACCTAAGATTTTTGCATTAAAATATCCCAAAATCACAAGGCCAGTGTTATATATTTAGTAAAGATGATAACTCACAATATTCCAAATGTTTCAAACAATGTTTAAATCGCGAGAAAATTGAGATTTTAACCAAGGAAACGGCACGTGTCAGCAGGGGTGAGCTGGGAGTCGCGAGTCAATCGCGTCATATCCGCTTACCTCGGTTTCCGCTCTTACTACGTGTAGTCCTGGACAAATGCGGTAGTTGTAGTTGTGCGTTAGCGCCTATCAAACGGCAGCTTGTTTCGCGCATTTGTTATGGAATGGAGCACATATATTCTTTTCATTTATTCTCGGAATGTGAACTGTTGGCTGTAAAGGGGGTCGCACACCGGACGAGAAGCGCCGCGTCACGTTTAGGACAACTCCAGTAACGTTATCGAACACCGGACGCGCACTTTCTCATCAGTGTATGGCCAGCAATATTGTTATGTTTAATGACAGAAAATGAAGATAATGTCTGTTCTATGTTATTGTACTGTACAATTAAATACAATCGTTGCTGAGTCTGCATTCTGAAAACTTTACCTCAGAGCATCCGTTCACAGAATGAATTGAGAATCTCACGTGAAAAATCTAATAATAATCAGTAATTGTCATTCAAGCAGCTGATTTCTGTAAATGACTGCAAAACTAAATGCATAGATATTGCAGCATAGGGCAAAGTCAGGATCCATTAGCAACGGTTTGAGGCAAAAATAATTACAATTTTATATAAAACTATGTAAATGGCGCTCTGTGGCGCAGCAGGGTTTTGAACACGGTCCTGAAACGTTGCTGGGCGCCGCGGACAGACGCCGAATGGCGCCGCCGGTATGTGTACACTTATAGATAATAATGTGTTCGAATAATTATGTGGTGCAACGCGGCGCTGCAGCTTCTCGTCCGGTGTGCGACCCCCTTAACGTTAATTTTGTGAAACTGTAGCTGTGGTTGAATACTTACACGACATGAAAAGATGTGTCAAATGTACATTGCAGACATCCCAAGTCTCCCGGATCTCCCGCATATTGATAGCGTTTCCCTGATGCCCGCAAATTAGTTCAAATCTCCCGGGATATAATGTTAGAGCGAGACATACTGCGCGCATAACATACAGCGCGCTGCGCGTGCACTGTACAGAGGGAGAGACTTTGCGTTTGTGCCTCGCGAACGCGAAAGTTAGCCTTCCCTCCCACCCCCACAATCTTGTTATCGAAATATACCTCCCGGAAATGAATTCTTGCAGGTTGGGATAACTGACATTAAATTGATTTTTTATTTTTATAAAGTTACCAAGGAGGGCCAACCACGTCAACTCCTTGCGAGAGACCTGCCCCTTCAAACCCTCTCCACCATAGCTTCGTCCAGTGACTCGTACAGTAACATCTGTGATAACTAATTTACTTTTAAACCTGACTTTTCTTGCACGGTTATTTCAGTTTAATGAAATACAAGCATGTCATTAAACGCAACGTTTATAGAAATCGAACTTTACCTCATCCATGACAACTAATTTTCGATTCCCGTCTGACTGATTTATCCACGGTGGAGTTGAAAACAACAGTTCCCATCATTCCGCGTTCCTCCACGGCGTCATCAAGCAAAGCCGTTGTTGTTGTTTTGAATGTAGCGCCCTCTAGCGGCATCTAGATCTTAGGTATTGCACCTTTAAATCAAGATGCATTTAGTCAAATAGTGAAATGCCATTAGATATTATGTCTTGTTTTCTGGGGAAATAAATCAAAATGGAGTTTTTGCTTAAAACAAGCAAAATTATCCGACAATAAGCCTGAGGTCAGAAAAATAATGTTAATTCCAACAGAAACAATCATTTTGCTTGTTTTAAGCAAAAACTCACTTAATTTTGATTTATTTCCCCAGAAAACAAGACATAATATCTTATGGCATTTCACTAATTTACTAAATGCATCTTGAATTAAGTATTTTTACATATTTGGAGTTGGACTGGAAACGAGTGTTGGCAGGAGCATTGTACAGGTTTAGTGCACATTCATGCGTAACCAGCCGTTATATATATCAGCTCTCTCAGCTTTTATGGACACAATAAAGTGAGGAATAGTTTTTTTAGGGTTTCATTTTTCAAAACAGTGAGTTTGACTGGTTAATATCGCTGTAAATCTCAATACTTATGTAATCATAGGGTTGTAGCCTGAGGTAAAAAAAATAATGTTAATTCCAACAGAAACAATCATTTTGCTCGTTTTAAGCAAAAACTCACTTAATTTTGATTTATTTCCCCAGAAAACAAGACATAATATCTTATGGCATTTCACTATTTCACTAAATGCATCTTGAATTAAGTATTTTTACATATTTGGACTGGAAACAGGCATTGTACAGGTTTAGTGCACATTCATGCGTAACCAGCCGTTATATATATCAGCTCTCTCAGCTTTTATGGACACAATAAAGTGAGAAATAGTTTTTTTAGGGTTTCATTTTTCAAAATAGTGAGTTTGACTGGGTAATATCGCTGTAAATCTCAATACTTATGTAATCATAGGGTTGTAGCCTATTTAGAGATGCACCGATCTAACATTTTGGCCGATACTGATAATTATTTTTATTTGGATAACCGATATATCGGCCGATAAATCTAAATCCAAGGTTTCATATAATGTTTCCAGAGTCTGATTACAAAAAAGTCTCTCCATTAAAATCCCCGTCCCAAACACACAGTTCTGATGTTCTCATGATAATGTTATGTAGCCGATATGACAGGCTTGCGCTGCACATGTTGCACTGAACTGTATCATATTTCAAGCAATTCATAATCATCATGTTGAACAGTGCACATCTGAAGGAAATAATACATTATTGATCGGCTCTAATATATCAGACACATTGTATTATCGGGCCGATAACGATAATATAAAAATGAACCGATACCGATATGGTGGCCGATATATCGTGCATCTCTAGTGCGCCAAGTAAAATACATTTAATCATTTGCTAAATGCACTTACACTTATATGGAGAGTTTGAACCGCATTAAGAGTGGATGTTGAGGAGGCGAGTGTGTTTTGGTGTGCGCAGGGTTTCCAGGTGCTGGTCGAGAGCGAGTGGTTGGATTTCGGGCATAAGTTTGCCGAGCGCTGTGGTCACGCCGAGAACGCGTCCGATGTGAACGAGCGCTGTCCTGTGTTCCTGCAGTGGCTCGACTGCGTTCATCAGCTCCAGAGACAGTTCCCATGCTCCTTTGAGTTCAACGAGGCCTTTCTGGTACTCACTCTCATTGCTTTATTACACACTGCAAAAAATTATTTTCTTACTCAGTTTTGTGTCAGTCCAAATATTTAAAAATTCTTAAATCAAGATGTATTTTTGTCTTGTTTTAGTCCAAATACCTAAAAATTCTTAAATCAAGATTAATTTTTGTCGTGTTTTAGTCCAAATACCTAAAAATTCTTAAATCAAGATTAATTTTTGTCGTGTTTTAGTCCAAATACCTAAAAAATCTTAAATCAAGATTAATTTTTAGATATTTGGACTGGAAACAAGACAAAAATGCTAAGTAAGAATATGATTTTGTTCAGTGTGCATCACATGAGGGCTGTGTTTGTGCCTTTAGGTGAAGTTGGCGCAGCACACGTACTCGTGTCTGTTCGGGACGTTCCTGTGCAACAGTGTGAAGGAGCGAGAGGATCAGTGTGTTCAGGAGAAGACGTGCTCGGTGTGGACTCTCCTGAGGCCGGAGAACTCTTCGTTCCTCAACATCCTCTACTCACCGCACTCAGAGACCGTACGTCTGCTGGACTCTCAGATACGCCTCATCACAGTTCACTGCACACTTTAGCTATTTTAATTCAAATAAAAGTATATATATATATAAATGAAATAAATAAAATGAAATAAAATATAAAATAATAAAGTAAATTATATAGAGTATAAAAAAAAATAATAATAAAATAAATACAAAATACAAAAAAAGAGATCAAGATAAGTCGATTAATGAGAAATGAACATTTCTCTTTTTCATTTGGTTTAAATATATTTATAAATATTTGTCAAAATACAGATATTGACAAATACAAGAAGTTTTGTAAAATGATAAACCTTGCAATTCAAACTTTTTTGGTTAAAATTTCTAAAACTGAAATAAAAATGAATACATTTTATATAGAATATTTATATAAACAGCTAATAAAAATGACAAAAGATCAAAATTAATAACACTAAAATAAAACCAAATTCAAAACATTAATAAACTATAATATAGCAGTGATATTAAAATATCAAGCTTATTTCAACACTGATAATAATAATCATTAATGTTTCTTGAGCATCAGATTCTCATATTAGAGTGATTTCTGAAGGATCATGTGACACTGAAGACTGGAGTAATGATAAATTCAGCTTTGATCACAGGAATAAATTACACTTTACTGTATATTCACATAGAAAACAGATGATTTACATTATTTATTTATTTTTACTTTATTTATTATTATTATTATTATTATAATATTTCACTGTTTTTACTTTATTTTTAATCAAATAAACGCAGCCTCACTAGAAATCTATCCGTCAGGTTCTGTACCCAGTGTGTCACGTGAGGAACCTGATGCTGTGGAGCGCCGTCTACCTGCCTAACTCCGCCCCCTCCACGCCTTCTGACGAGTCATGTGTGCCTAACTCCGCCCCCTCAGCCTCATCTGTGAGCAGGTAAAGGACACGTGACTTATGCGTTTCCTTGTCTGAACACAGTTTCAGTAGCGATGCACGATATATCGGCTACCATATCGGTACATTTTTAATGTTAGCGTTATCGGCTTGATAAGAAAATGTGTCTGATATATTAGAGCTTATATATAATGTATTATTTCCTTCAGATGCGCACTGTTCAACATGATGATTATGAATTGCTTGAAATATGATTGGACTCACTTCAAAAAAGGAAAATACAGTTCAGTGCAACATGTGCAGCACAAGTCTGTCATATCGGCTACATAACATTATCATAAGAAAAACATCATAACTGTGTGTTTGAGACATTGATGTTAGTGATGAGACTTTTGTTTTTGTAATCAGGCTCTCAAAAATTTGGATTTAGATTTATTGTCCAATATATCAGTTTTCGGCTTTCAAATATAAAGAATTATCGATTATCGGCTTTCAAATATAAAAAATTATCAGTTATCGGCTTTCTAGTATAAAGAATTATCGGTTATCAGCCTTTAAGTATAAAGAATTATCGGTTATTGGCTTTCAAATATAAATAATTATCGGTTATCAGCCTTTAAGTGTAAAGAATTATCGGTTATCAGCCTTTAAGTGTAAAGAATTATCAGTTATAAGCCTTTAAGTATAAAGAATTATCAGTTATCAGCCTTTAAGTATAAGTATAAAGAATTATCGGTTATCAGCCTTTAAGTGTAAAGAATTATCGGTTATTGGCTTTCGAATATAAAGAATTATCGGTTATTGGCTTTCAAATATAAAGAATTATCGGTTATCGGCCTTTAAGTATAAAGAATTATCGGTTATCGGCTTTCAAATATAAAGAATTATCGGTTATCGGCTTTCTAGTACAAAGAATTATCCTGTTATCAGCCTTTAAGTATAAAGAATTATCGGTTATTGGCTTTCAAACATAAATAATTATTGGTTATCAGCCTTTAAGTGTAAAGAATTATCAGTTATCAGCCTTTAAGTATAAAGAATTATCAGTTATTGGCTTTCAAATATAAATAATTATCGGTTATCGGCTTTCTAGTATAAAGAATTATCGGTTATTGGCTTTCAAATATAAATAATTATTTGTTATCGGCCTTTAAGTGTAAAGAATTATCAGTTATCAGCCTTTAAGTATAAAGAATTATCGGTTATTGGCTTTCAAATATAAATAATTATCGGTTATCGGCCTTTAAGTGTAAAGAATTATCAGTTATCAGCCTTTAAGTATAAAGAATTATCGGTTATTGGCTTTCAAATATAAATAATTATCGGTTATCGGCCTTTAAGTGTAAAGAATTATCAGTTATCAGCCTTTAAGTATAAAGAATTATCGGTTATTGGCTTTCAAATATAAATAATTATCGGTTATCGGCTTTCTAGTACAAAGAATTATCGGTTGTCAGCCTTTAAGTATAAAGAATTATCAGTTATCAGCCTTTAAGTATAAAGAATTATCGGTTATCGGCTTTCCAGTATAAAGAATTATCGGTTATCAGCCTTTAAGTATAAAGAATTATCGGTTATCAGCCTTTAAGTGTAAGGAATTATCAGTATCGGGCAAAATTGATATCGGTGGATCCCTAATTTTCATTCTTTAACCACTTTTCACTCATTTCTCCACTTAAGTGTTCCTGTAGCTCAAACTGTAGAGCATTAAGCTGGTGTGTTTTCTCTTCAGGTTACCAAAGACTCGGTCGTACGACGATCTGCACACATCGTGTGAGGGTTCGACCCCGCCCCGCCGCAGCAGCGACCCCAGCAGGACTGAGAAGTGGCAGGACCGCCTGAGCGCGATGAGGAGCGCGACCAAAGAACCGGACAAGAGTCTCCCCGATCCGAGACTCGGCTTACACACCAGCGACTCTGACGGATTAAAGGGGGTGGAGCTTTCTGTGACTGACAGCCAAATGGAACAAGAAGTGAGAGAGGAGGATAACCAGAAGGTGGAAGTGGTAAATCACACGCCTGCCTTCGATATTCCAGATCATTTGGAGAGTGAGGACCAAACGTTTGGATCACCAGAAGATATTAAAGATCACGCTGTGGAACGTTCCACTGAAGAACACCCTCGTAAATCCCAGCATCCTCTTCCCTCTCACGAAAACAGCGAGTTGCTATCAAACGGGTTAGATCTAAATAAACACGCCCCCTTTACAATTACCCATGATCCTTCAGAATCTAGCAGCCAATCTTCCATGGATAGTTCTTCCAGTCCGAACCACACCGTCAACGGCGTCTGCTTACCTTCCCAGCATCCCGTTCATCCGCTTTCGGCCAATCAGGACGGGTTGAGTGTTCACAGCGACGCCGTACAGGTGCGTCTGCGAGAGATGGAGGCGGGGCATCAGCTGCAGGTGGAGACGCTAAAGAAACAGGTGCATGAGCTCTGGAGCCGTCTGCACGTCAACGGGAAGCTGGTGAGGAACACACACACACACACTACTCTATGCAATTCCTGTTATATTGAAACGCTTTAGTGATGGTAAATCTACGGTGGCCTAAGCAAAATTTCAAAAGGAAATGAAACGAAAAATTATCAAAATCAAGCCACAACATGATGAAATCAAGCAACAACACAACAAAATCAAGCAACAACACACTGAAATCAAGCCACAACGCAATGAAATCAAGCAACAACGCAATGAATTCAAGCAACAACACAACAAAATCAAGCAACAACACACTGAAATCAAGCTACAACGCAATGAAATCAAGCAACAACGCAATGAAATCAAGCCACAAGACAACAAAATCAAGCAACAATGCAATGAAATCAAGCCACAAGACAACAAAATCAAGCAACAACGCAATGAAATCAAGCCACAAGACAACAAAATCAAGCAACAACGCAATGAAATCAAGCCACAAGACAACAAAATCCAGCAACAATGCAATGAAATCAAGCCACAAGACAACAAAATCAAGCAACAACGCAATGAAATCAAGCCACAAGACAACAAAATCCAGAAACAACGCAATGAAATCAAGCCACAAGACAACAAAATCAAGCAACAAGTTAACGCAATGAAATCAAGCCACAAGACAACAAAATCCAGCAACAACACAATGAAATCAAGCCACAAGACAACAAAATCAAGCAACAAGTTAACGCAATGAAATCAAGCCACAAGACAACAAAATCAAGCAACACAATACAATGAAATCAAGCAACAACACAATGAAATCAAGCCACAAGACAACAAAATCAAGCAACAACGCAATGAAATCAAGCCACAACGCAATGAAATCAAGCCACAACGCAATGAAATCAAGCCACAAGACAACAAAATCCAGCAACAACACAATGAAATCAAGCCACAAGACAACAAAATCAAGCAACAAGTTAACGCAATGAAATCAAGCCACAAGACAACAAAATCAAGCAACACAATACAATGAAATCAAGCAACAACACAATGAAATCAAGCCACAAGACAACAAAATCAAGCAACAACGCAATGAAATCAAGCCACAACGCAATGAAATCAAGCCACAACGCAATGAAATCAAGCCACAAGACAACAAAATCAAGCAACAAGTTAACGCAATGAAATCAAGCCACAAGACAACAAAATCAAGCAACACAATACAATGAAATCAAGCAACAACACAATGAAATCAAGCCACAAGACAACAAAATCAAGCAACAACGCAATGAAATCAAGCCACAACGCAATGAAATCAAGCCACAACGCAATGAAATCAAGCAACAACGCAATGAAATCAAGCCACAAGACAACAAAATCAAGCAACAACACAATGAAATCAAGCCACAAGACAACAAAATCAAGCAACAACGCAATGAAATCAAGCCACAACGCAATGAAATCAAGCCACAACGCAATGAAATCAAGCCACAACACAATGAAATCAAGCCACAACACAACAAAATCAAGCAACAACACAATGAAATCAAGCCACAAGACAACAAAATCAAGCAACAAGTTAACGCAATGAAATCAAGCCACAAGACAACAAAATCAAGCAACAACGCAATGAAATCAAGCCACAAGACAACAAAATCAAGCCACAACGCAATGAAATCAAGCCACAAGACAACAAAATCAAGCAACAACGCAATGAAATCAAGCCACAAGACAACAAAATCAAGCCACAACGCAATGAAATCAAGCCACAAGACAACAAAATCAAGCCACAAGACAACAAAATCAAGCCACAACGCAATGAAATCAAGCCACAACGCAATGATATCAAGCCACAACACAACAAAAACACTGTAGTTATCGTTATCGTCGGTCATTAAAGTTATAATAGTTATCATTATAGTTTACATTGTGGTTATCACAGTTAACATTATAGTTATAATCGTCCGGGACCGGTAGTCATGATTATAGCGATTAAAGTTATGGTTATTGCCCGTGGTGTAATCAGGCCGTTAATCTCATTAACTTCAGCAGCTGTAACACTTCTTCTCCTCTGACCACAGACGTCTCGTCCGGACGCGGAGAATAACCTGGAGGTGCAGCGCTGCGGCGCCACGGATCTCCTGTCCGAGGCCAGCTGGGAACAGATCGGACAACGGGAAGCAGAGGTGAGCCCATCAGGAAGAGAACGGACGTCACGCTGCAAAACATGCCGTCTCGTTTCCACTCCAAATGTCTCAACATTCTTAAAGGGATACGCCACTTTTTTTTTTGGAAATAGGCTCGTTTTACCACTCCCCCAGAGTTACACAGTTGAGTTTTACCGTTTTCGAATCCATTCAGCCGATTTTCTGATATTTAGAAGAATATCAGTGACCTGGTCCCATTGACTTCCATAGTATATTTTTTTCCTACTTATAGTAGGTGCCCTCTACTGTACTCTACTCTACTCTACTGTACTCTACTCTTCTGTACATGCGTAGATTTGCATTTCCAAAAGTATAGCCAAAGTAACAGAACACATTTCTTAAAGAGTAACTAAGTAAATCAATTAGTTTAATTCAATATTGTAATGCATTACTAAGTAACTGGTGTGTTGTGTGTTGACTGGTTCTGTGTGTGTCCAGGTGACGCAGTGGTACTCTGATCACCCGGCGTCCCGTTGCTATGGTTGCGAGAGGACGTTCTGGCTGGCGAGGAAGCATCACTGCAGGTGAGACCCGGATACACTCGGGAATTACAGGAACATTCCCCCTACATCAATGCGCAGCGGAAAAACACACACAAACACACTCACACACACACACACACTGCAGAACATGCTTTTCTTACTCACTGTGTTTGTCTCGTTTCCAGCAAATATCTAAAAATGTTTAAATCAAGAAGCATTTACTAGATTAGTTAAATGCCGTATTATATTAAGTCTTGTTTTTTACAGGGAAAAAAACCCCAAAACAAGCAAAAACATCTGCTAACGGTGTAAGACAAAGAATCTGCTTTCCGTTTAAATTTATATTATTTTTCTCACCTCATTGGCAGATCATTTTGCTTGTTTTACGCAGTCTCTTAATTTGGATTTTTCCCCCGAGAAAAGAAGACATAATATTGTTTGCAGTGTTGTAGTACTGGAGACTCGGACTCGTCTCGGACTCGGTCTCGAGACCATATTTTAATGGTCTTGGTCTTGTCATGGACTCGTGTCCATTTGGACTCGGAATTGATACTTTTTTTTTTAGGACTCGGACTTATTCCCGAGTCCACTCGAGTTCAATTAAAAATATTTTTCATGATTATTAATGTATGTTAATAAAATATTTCTTTAAATTGATTGACACGCCCAGTGATTGGTGATTTTCTAGTGCGCAACTGCGCATGACAAATTGTAATAAAATTACTTTTAACACCACCTACTATGTGGCCTTTTTACCCTAAACTGATCATATTTGTTAAACTCTAAGTAAATTCAGTAAAAAAAAAAAAAAAGTAAATAAAAAGTAAGTTCTCTAAGTAAATAAAAGTAAATTAGGTAATCAACCCTCACTGGTCTCGGTCTCGACTCGGACTCGACCGTCTCTGGTCTTGGTGTCGACTCGGACTCGAGTGAGGTGGTCTCGACTACAACACTGATTGTTTGTGTGTGTGTGTGTAATAAGCAGAGTGTACATGTGTTGTGGACCCGCCTATAGGCACACATTTCTAACGCTCTCTTTAAATAAACAAATGAAATACTGCGCCATTGACTGTAGCCCAGGTCTCAGTTGGTCAATGGATCGATCTATTTCAGTTCCTCAAAATAGCAACAGTCCATCAATGCTCCTCGTTCTCAGGCCAGCAGCCCATGAGGGACAGAAGGCGCAAATGCATTTGCTATTTAAACAAAGTGGCACACAACAGCTAGCAAAACACATTTGCGTCGTGCTCGGTGTATGATGGGGACCATAACGTTTTCAGCGGTGTGTTGAGTTTGAGTGTCGCCTGACCCGTGTCTCTCTCTCTCTCTCTCTCGTTCTGCTGCAGCGGCCGAGAGCCGGTTGATGAGGCCTGGTGAGACTTTTCTTCTCTTTCTTTGTCTATCCCTTCTCACACACACATGCGTCACTCATTTACAACGTCTGAAAACAACCATGCTTGATCTCACACTAGAGATTTACCTGCAACTATACTCACCAGTGACCAAAAGTCACATCTATTCTGTAATAATTGACCAGTATGAAAATTACTTCACTACCAGTCAAAAGTGTTGGATGTGTAAGATTTTTAATGTTTTTTGTTTTTTTAAAAAAGTCTATTCTGCTCACCAAGGCTGCATTTATTTTTTTGTATTTTTAATCAAACAAATGCAGCCTCTGTGAGCTGAAGAGACTTCTTTTAAAAACATTAAAAATCTTACACATCCAAAACTTTTGACTGGTAGTGTGTGTGAAGCTTAAGTACTTTATGAACATTGGAAGTGTTAATTCCTCTCTCTCTCTCTCTTCGCTGCAGGAACTGTGGGAATGTGTTCTGCACGAGCTGCTGTGACCAGAAGGTGGCGCTAGCAAGTCAACAGCGCCGGGAGCCGAACCACATGTGTCAAGCGTGTTACGGGCACCTCCGGCCCTCATCCGTTCCTCCTGCGCTCCCTCCGGCAGACCTGGAGCTGGAGAATCCCATCACTGCCAGCTCCAACTGAGCCGGATCCCAGCCACATCTCAGCCGGATCACACGGAGAATCCCATCACTGCCAGCTCCACCTGAGCCGGATCCCAGCCACATCTCAGCCGGATCACACGGAGAATCCCATCACTGCCAGCTCCACCTGAGCCGGATCCCAGCCGCATCTCAGCCGGATCACACGGAGAATCCCATCACTGCCAGCTCCACCTGAGCCGGATCCCAGCCACATCTCAGCCGGATCACACGGAGAATCCCATCACTGCCAGCTCCACCTGAGCCGGATCCCAGCCACATCTCAGCCGGATCACACGGAGAATCCCATCACTGCCAGCTCCACCTGAGCCGGATCCCAGCCACATCTCAGCCGGATCACACGGAGAATCCCATCACTGCCAGCTCCACCTGAGCCGGATCCCAGCCGCATCTCAGCCGGATCACACGGAGAATCCCATCACTGCCAGCTCCAACTGAGCCGGATCCCAGCCTCATCTCAGCCGGATCACACGGAGAATCCCATCACTGCCAGCTCCACCTGAGCCGGATCCCAGCCGCATCTCAGCCGGATCACACAGAGAATCCCATCACTGCCAGCTCCACCTGAGCCGGATCCCAGCCGCATCTCAGCCGGATCACACGGAGAATCCCATCACTGCCAGCTCAAACTGAGCCGGATCCCAGCCGCATCTCAGCCGGATCACACGGAGAATCCCATCACTGCCAGCTCAACCTGAGCCGGATCCCAGCCGCATCTCAGCCGGATCACACGGAGAATCCCATCACTGCCAGCTCCAACTGAGCCGGATCCCAGCCGCATCTCAGCCGGATCACACGGAGAATCCCATCACTGCCAGCTCCAACTGAGCCGGATCCCAGCCGCATCTCAGCCGGATCACACGGAGAATCCCATCACTGCCAGCTCCAACTGAGCCGGATCTCAGCCGCATCTCAGCCGGATCACACGGAGAATCCCATCACTGCCAGCTCCACCTGAGCCGGATCTCAGCCGCATCTCAGCCGGATCACACGGAGAATCCCATCACTGCCAGCTCCAACTGAGCCGGATCCAGCCGCATCTCAGCCGGATCACACGGAGAATCTCATCACTGCCAGCTCCAACTGAGCCGGATCTCAGCCGCATCTCAGCCGGATCACACGGAGAATCCCATCACTGCCAGCTCCAACTGAGCCGGATCTCAGCCGCATCTCAGCCGGATCACACGGAGAATCCCATCACTGCCAGCTCCAACTGAGCCGGATCTCCAGCCGCATCTCAGCCGGATCACACGGAGAATCCCATCACTGCCAGCTCCAACTGAGCCGGATCTCAGCCGCATCTCAGCCGGATCACACGGAGAATCCCATCACTGCCAGCTCCAACTGAGCCGGATCCCAGCCGCATCTCAGCCGGATCACACGGAGAATCCCATCACTGCCAGCTCAACCTGAGCCGGATCCCAGCCACATCTCAGCCGCATCTCAGCCGGATCACAAGGAGAATCCCATCACTGCCAGCTCCAACTGAGCCGGATCCCAGCCACATCTCAGCCGGATCACACGGAGAATCCCATCACTGCCAGCTCCAACTGAGCCGGATCTCAGCCGCATCTCAGCCGGATCACACGGAGAATCCCATCACTGCCAGCTCCAACTGAGCCGGATCCCAGCCGCATCTCAGCCGGATCACACGGAGAATCCCATCACTGCCAGCTCCAACTGAGCCGGATCCCAGCCGGGTCACACGGAGAACTGGCTCAAAGGATCAGGATCGAGAGCTCATCATTTACTCACTCTCATGTGCTTCTGTGTGACCAAAGTGCACATCTAAAGAATGATTCACCAAAATATTAGTAAGAAAGAAGTTGATCAAGGAGATGGAAAGACGAAGCGCCGAACATTAGTCCCGAACAGATGAGTAACTCTGAAAATCTGAAAAACGATCCGCACACGAATATTGGCCAAAAAGCTCACAGGGTTTTATTGTCCAGAGGCCACAAATAAAGTGAAAAAGTGTGCAAAACATCTCCGGGTTCAACGTACTGCGGTAATTTACACACTTATTACCGTAATCCATGTAACACTCTGGAATCTGATTTTTCCCATACAAAAATATTTACATTTACAAAATTTTGAATAGAGGATTGTTGTGATATGCATGTATAATCATGTAAACCATTTATGTAAATATTTTTATATGGGATAAAATCAGATTCCAGTGTATTACATGGATTACGGTAATGAGTGTGTAAATTACCGTTTTGCACACCTTGCACTTTTTCACTTTATTTGTGGCCTCTAAACAATAAAATCCGGTGAGCTTTTTGACCAATATTCGTGTGCGAATCTTTTTTCTGATTTTTAAGAAAGTAGTTGAGAAATTTCTCAGACATTTGTAAGAATATGAAATTCTTGGATATTTTCTTAAGAACATCCTCATTTTTAAAAAAAAAGAAAATTACAGACTTTGGTGTTTATCTGACTCTCCAAAGACTTCAACACAAAGAGAAACACCTCAAAGGCGCACTAACGTTTAAAACACTTTTTTATTTTGATAATTGCATAAAAAAAAAACTTTTTCATAATAAGCTGGCAGTGATATCTGTCGCAACTGGCTTGAGGACAGTTCAGGGACCGGATTCACGAAAATCTTCTTAACTCTTTGCCGCCAGCGCTTTTTAACTCTTTCGTCAATTTATTCAGTAATGTGTTTCCATGTTTCGTCATTGATCGCTATCATCAGTGTGGACAGGAACAGTGAATCACTGCAAAGCTATTGCTATCTTTTTACTTCTAAACGAAGAGCATAAAAGAACTTCGTTGTGAGTTTATCGGCGATTCTCTTGCGCGTCGTGGGCAGTTCACTTAACGGCCACCGGTGTCACTGATCACACGGGTTCCTGATCCTACATGCAGCTCCTTTAATATAAATAAACGTTTAATCAAAATAAAAATCACAATAGAGTGCGATTATCAAATCAAATGCTGGATTTTAATTAAGTTGTTACCGAACTACTAATTTATTCAGTCACGTCATGCATAATCATGACCAATCTGTGTTTACATTATAAACAATGGTGTCACTTCAGAGAACCTGTCGCGAGGAATATTAATATGTATCATATATATAGTCACTAGTGTTATATTGTAATGCTTGGTATTACAAGTCGAAGGCTATCTGAACTTTAGTTAGCCTATTAAATTCTTAAATTTTGAAAAGATAACATTCCTCTTTATGTTTTGTGAATCCACCCCGATCTCGTTTGGATTATTTTTACGATCATTCTTTAAAAAATAAATATATACTTCATAAATATGATAGACGAATAGAACTTGTATGCAAATGAGATCTGAAGGTCCAATCCGGCTCACCGTCCTTTAGTTCATGCGGCCGAGGAAACGATGACAGAACTTTAATATCCCTGATTCGCTCTAACTTTGCCGAGGAGTTTTGCACACTTGAATCTGTGTTCATGAACTTTGTTTGTATATTATGTCACATGTTGTACAGCCAATGCAATGAAAGCTTGACTGACTGAATGGAGTTTCACGAATTTGAGCAATACGCACCACAGGATCGGGACGGTTATGGAAAAGATCCTTGTGCGACGACCATCTCAAACCACGTGTCTGCTGTCGCTATGCCCTAATGAAATCCCCCACAATGCAATGCTGCTGTCTTTCCTCTCTGTTGGACAGGGTTTGTACGAGCACTGTCGCTTATGGAGTCGTTTGTGTGAATGAAATTAAAGCACAACACACTGCCAACCTGAACCTCGTGTCCGTCTGACTCGCTGATACGACAGGCGTGTTTTTACTCAGAAATGGTTGATTTAGGTTCAGTTAATGAACATGTAGTCCTGGTTGATAATGTGCAATCTGAATTCTATAGAGAATTTTACTCCTGGTTTACTACTAACCCCAAAGCTTGACATTAAATAATAACACACAAATTATTATTATTATTATTTTTTACATTTATTTACCTTTAGATGAAAAAAAAAGGGGGAAATGTGCTTTTGTGGCTTATATAATGAGAAAATGAAAGACAAAACAGCTCAATTTTATAATTTTACTCCAAGGCCCAAACCGGAACAAAAATATTGAGAAATGTATATTTATGTGGAGAAAAAGTCATGTAAATGTTATGTAAATCAATGAGATCTTTATAACAGTAAAGCAGATACTTGCATAAAATGCATATAAACATTTGCTAGTAGTCTTAGTAAGATTATATTTAAATTAGTTTTATAAACAAAGCTCTGTAAACTTTATACGTTTTAAAACTACAACGATGGTTAAGAAATTACCTAATAAACCTTCCTCAAAAGCCTGATGATCATTTTTGTTACTCGTGATTTTTATAATACATGAGTTAAGTCATTATTTTATATTGAATAGGCTTAACTTTAAACGTAAAGCAAACTTAAAACAATCTTTACATAAACTAATTAAAATAAATGCCTGTAATTTTCCTTAAAATGCCCGTTTTTCCTGTTTTAAGCGTTTGAAGTCGATGGAGTTCACTGGTATAACTCAACTTCATGATATAGGCCTATAGATACAAATAAAATGTCTCATAAATATTGATATTTATCTGTTTTATGCATCAGATTCAAAACTTTAGTGCCTTCACTCATTAATGAGAAGATATTGATTACATAAATATGTTTTTAGGAGGAAAATCCGGTTGACTCTTTACTTTCTCAATAAACGTAATGTTACCTGGTCTGATTCAACCCAATCCAAGCAAAGCTCATCTTCATAATATTTCATAAATTTGAAATAACTCGATGTCTTCAATCCCTCTTATTTTTTCAGTCAAATCCTGACGGTGAAAATCAAGTCCAATCCTACATTTCTCGACCAAAAATCCAGTTTGACCTGAAACATGATCATGAGAGTAACAGGACTCAAGAAAGACCCAGAGGCTCAGATAAAGATATAACTTTTTTGTTTATTAGTGGCTATAGATAATGCTATTGGACCATAATCATAAAAAATGATAAAACAAGTAAAGTTAACGCTACATCTCTGGTCAGCGGTCGGTTAACATCGGCATCGATTAGCGCATAATGAGAAATGAGAAGCGGGAAAAAACAAACCCGTTACAACGTCTCCATGCGACAGAGCGAGACGTCACCGCACGAATGAGCCGAGCGCGCGCGCGAAACACATCATCACGGTGAGCGGGAAATGGCGTCGGTGGCACTTCATCTGAGGAGAAATTCCAGAGTGATTCCTTTAGGATTCATACATTCTAATCCTGAGTTCATCATGGCTCATGGGAAGCGGACGACACACACCACGACGAGAGTTGCTCCGAACACGACACCGAACAGCGAGCCGGTACGTGACAAGACGAAAACACGCCAGCTTGATTCAAGCAAAAATGTTCAGATTGAGACAAAATCCATCCGTTACAAACCGGTTCCTCGCGCTTCGATTTTAACAAAAATAGACCCGCCTCGCGATTCGCTTCGATATCGTCTTATATAAAAAATCATCACGTGGGTGTATTTACAAGGGGTTAAACGTGACATTCTGAAAGTTTACAAAGATTCCGTTCTTCCGTCGGGACGGACGCTACGCAGTCGCCGGGGATTGTGGATAGTGCGGGAGAAACTTATTTCTGCCACGGAATAGAAAAACAAAAGTAAGACATTTTAATCTACAAACTGACAATGGCTTTTCCTTAGAGGCTAGTTTATACACTTCATTTGCAAATCAGAGCTTGTTATTGCGATTTTGCATCTAATTCTGGCATAATTCACAATTACATTTTATTTCGGCTTCCACCATAATTTTTTTTTAATGCACAAATCTGACTGTTTTTCCTCAAGTTTGCTTGTTATCGTGAGTTTACATCTCATAATTAAGTTTTTTTTTCAGCTTTCGGCATGGATTTTTTTTAAATGGCATTTATAACTTTATTTCACAAATCTGTCTTTTAATTTCCACGAGGTTGTCTCACTGAATTATAAAAACAAACAAAACTAAATTGTCAATAATGAGTTATCTCTCAGTATGTATTAAAAAGAAATATAAAAGGTAATTGCGACATTTTATTTCAAAATTTAGATTATTTCCCCCCTCAGAGTCGCAAGCTTGTATCTCGCAATTTGAACTTAGTTTTTTTTTATTCTTTTCACCATGGAATAATTTTTTAAAAGGTAATTGCTACTTTTAATCTCGCAATTCTGAGAAAAAGTTTATTTTAAAAATCAAAACTTTCAAACTTTTTTTTAATTCTACAAAAAAGTCAGAATTGAGAGACGTAAACTGGCAATAATAATAACTTTTTAATCTCACAATTTAGTTTTTTTTGTGTGAAATAAATGTTACTATTATGTTACTAAAATTATACTGTTTAAATATTTTTTTCCATGGTGGAAACAGAAAAAATCTAAATTGTGAATTATGCCAGAATTATGAGATGTAAACTCGCAATAACAAACTCATAACTTTCTAAATGACAGATATAAACTAGCAACTGAGGAAAAAGTCAGAATCGTACGATTAAAACGTCTTGTGTTGTTATTTTTTCTATTCTGGGGCAGAAACAAGCTTCCATCGGACATAAAAAGAGAAGGACAGGAAAATCAAGACAAACAATGTGTGTGTTAGTGTGGTTTAGAAAGGTTCGCACTAGTAAACGCTGGCCAGATCTCTGTGTTGTGTTTCTAAGGCCATGTGGAGCGGGACGTTGTGCTGGGAGTTTCGGGATCTGATGATGTCACTCACACCGACGACTGATCCCAGACCTGCTGGACACACAAACACAGGGTTTATCATTAGGATAATTGTAGAAACATCCACCTTCAGCTTGTGTCTTTTTGATCTGGTGTGCAGTGTGTGTGTGAGTGTGTGTTCAGTCGTCCTGACCTTGTTGACGGTGTTGATGGGTGTTCGAGCGGATCCGGTGTGCAGTCTCTGTCTCGGCTCCTCAAACGCGTGCCCGGGCGATCTCTCCCTGCGCAGCTCCATCACGCGTCCCGGAGAACAGTCGAGTCGAGGGTCCATGATCCTCCCCGGGGACTTCTCCCGGTCCAGGGCCCGCGCCGGAGACTTGTCGCGCCTGAACTCGGTGCGGGCCTCTCGGTAGCGGTGAGGCGTCCCGGGCTGGTGGATCCCCTCCTGGACCGACGGCATCGACGCCACACGCTTGGAGATGTGCTCGTTGTAGGTCGGAGGACCACGCTTGTTCGGGCTGAGAGGACAGAGAGAGTCAGGGTCAGTCGCCTTGCGTTCCTTCTTCACAGAAATGCATCATGATAACGGTGTCTTCCTGTCATTTACACTTTATTTTCAAAGCAAATTCATTGGTAAATGGTGACACTGAAGACTGGAGTAATGATGATGAAAATTCATCAATATTTCACTATTTAGCGTTAGGGTGCCATTCAACAAACTCTATATTTACATACTTTAAATATAAATATTTTATATATTGGACCACAGATTATCGTGGCATTTCGTGTCTGGACACAGTTTGAAGATCATCTCATATTTATTATGAACTAGGGCTGGGTAATAAATATCGATTTCTCGATATTAATTGATTCTCATTTTTACGAACCGATATCGATTCTTAAATCTCAAGAATCGATTAGTCATCCTGTTTCATTTGAATGAATGGATCATTGTATCGCGGCTGCGCGCATCCAAAAAAAATCGCAATAATCTTTGTCCTTTGTTACTATTGATATGAAACAAAGTCTCAGTTTTCAAATTACGTCCATTTTCTTTAGAAATTCAAAAACATAAATAGCGTTTTGTCGCTGTGGCGTGAGATCGCTCTGGAGAAGCAGCAGCGCTGATCTCTCTTCCGGCTTAATAATACCAGTCACAGCGCCAAATAAACATGAATGAGCATCTGAAAGTGTGTTAAAGATAGAGGACAACTTATCCAAATCCGGATCATGTCACATTGATTCACTCAATCAGCGTTTCAACCGTGGAAAGACGTCAGTTAAACAGCTTGTAATCAATGTATCGTCATATTTACCTCAGAAAACCCACATCAACTCGTTAGTCAGCTAGAAAAAATAACTCTAGAGAGGAGCATTTTGCTAAATATATACACCATATTACATATGCATTATAATCTTAATGTTCTTCAATATTTAATGCATATTTGAATAAATCTGGCAAGTTTTTATGACGGCCACCATTTAAATGTTTATATTTTATATAATCTTCTTATTATAAAAATAAATAAAAGTGTAATTTAAGTGTTTGTAAAGCTACAAAACAGTTCATTATTACCTTCATATTAGGCTAATGAAGCCCAACTAGACTCCCATAGTTTACAGCATTAGTTCAGAGATTTGATTTCCTTGAGAAAATTTGCCATTTATTGTAACTGATATCCAAAATAATCAATATTGAATCGTATCGAAATCGAATCGAATTGTGAAATTTGTCTCAATACCCAGCCCTACTATGCACACTTAATTTAATTTATCAACAGTACCTGAAGAAAACTATACACACACACACACGGTAACATTGATAAAGTGTTTATAGAGGGACCTGACAGACATTCACCAGTGAGAAGAAATGAAATATATGAATAAAGTTATTAATGTGAAACCACACACCCATCAGACCAGTGAAGAGATTCAGATTCGTGTGCAGTTTAAATCACAGGACGACTTACCAATCAAACACGTCTCCTCATCCGCCATATCCATAACAACATATTTATGCTTTTAAAAGCACGATACAATGAAAGCAACAGTCAAATCATGAACAACAGCTTCTGATATGATATAATCGGAGCTGAGAAAGAAATTAGGAAAATCACTAATACTTCATTTGCACATTCAAACATACATTTCAGAAAACGTATTCAGAAAACTATTCTCTTAATGTACTGTGATTAATCAACGGGAAAATATGGTGATATTTTTACTTGAAGTGGCTTAAAGTTATATAAGATGAACATTAAACTAGTCAGAATATTCTCCTTAAAAACACTTTATTCATCACAGGTTAAAACGTTCATGCTCAGTCACTCCTTTGCACATATAAAGAAAGCACATTTCTTCCTGTAAAGAAGAGAAACAGAGTCAGAACCTCTGGACCAATCACAGCCAGACTCCAGGTCACATGGGGTCGTTCTGCAGGACTGACACATTTAACTCATGACTCACTGAACATCTTCCGCATTAGATCTGATGTCAATGCCAGTGTTTCTCGTGTCGTCACTGATCATGAGTAATGCAGGATTCATCTAAATAAGACCAATTAAAACTAAAAAGTGTTGCACTTTCATCATCTTTCAAATTTGTGATGAGAATTGTATATAAATCTGGATATGAACAAAAACTGTTTTTTCCAGTCCCGCCTGTTATTAGGGCTCTATGAATTCTGTGATGCAGAAAATCCAGTCAGAAAAATGGAATTTACTGTATAAACAATCATGTCAACTCGTCAAAATAAGAGTTTAGTTTAACTTGACAGAAATATAGTAATGTTGTACAGTGGAATTTAGATACGCCTCAATGTAGTAATAAAAAATAATAATAACACTAATAAATTAATCTAAATATTTTTTCTTCCATGTTTAACAGAAGCTCAGTTGTGCAGCGTGTAGTTTGACAGAAAAAGTTTAGTTTTGTATTATTAAAAGATTAATTAAATTAATGTTTTATGTCTTTATTTGATTACCAGAAAATACACACCAGAATTTGTGGAAAAATTCATAGAAATGCAATAAAAAAAAATAAATAAAAAAAAGATTAAAATGGTTGTTTTTATGAATTCAATTAATTAGATATGCTTTTTGATTAATACATTTGAATTATTAACTTAATTAAACCATGGAATCCAGAAAACAGAATTTGGTAAAAAAAAATAAAATAAAATAAAATGTAATTTGAGAAAAAAAAATATATATTTCATAGGGCCCTAAAAATGTAACTTTTGTTAAACTTTTCATAAAGTGTTGTTAAATTGTATAAGTTTCATAGTTTTTAATTTAGACAATAAAAAAAATTAAATCATAATGAAAAAAAAAACCCCAGAAAAACTTAATTTTGGTAAAAAAAAAGAAAAAGAAAAAAAAAAAGGATTTCATTGGACCCTACGTTAGCGACAATTCACACACACACACACACACACACACTGACCTGCGCGTGGAGCCGTTTCTTTGCGGTTCTGCGCTCGACCCCTCCTGACTCAGATTGCCTTTGCAGCAAATGACCCGCAGTTTGTTCTGGTAGGACGAGGCCAGATACACGGCGCCGGACGAGATGGCCGGACCCAGGTAACGCGGGCTGGGAATATCCAGGTGTGCGTACGCATGTGGCCTGAACACACACACACACACAACACTCGAGTCAGAGTCTCCAACAAACACCAAGACTGAAAGCAGAAGTGTGTGTGACTGCAGCTTTACCCGAGCGCTGAGTGAGACTGGACCTCGATGACGTCCAGAGAGTTGAAGTACGTGACGAACAGGTACGGCTCTCGATACGCTGTGGACATTATTGTAATATATTATAAATATAAATAAATGGGGATGAAGATTACCTATTAATTGTTATTTAAGTGAAATTACTGAACTTAAATATACAAGCTTGATAAAAATGGTCATTTTAGAAGAAAATTTCAAATGGCATTTAGAGGCTTTTGCATCTGAACTCTTCATATATATATATATATATATATATTCACTTCTTTCAGTTGAATTATAGTTATGGATAGGGGAAATACACGTTTTTATGAAAGTTATGGATAAATGGATATTTCCAGAGCCAGTGAGAAATTGTGTTTTATAATTGTGATCCAAAATAATGATTTACATTTTTAAATAAACAGATTAATAAGGTTTTACCGAAGGACAGAGGCAGACGGCTCCACTTGATGTCATCGCTGCGACTCCGGCGGCCGTACGCGTCCACGAACACACCGAACTCTACAACGACACACACACCGGTCAAACACACACACACCGAACTCTACAACGACACACACACACACCGAACTCTACAACGACACACACACTGGTCAAACACACACACACCGAACTCTACAACGACACACACACTGGTCAAACACAGATCCAAACACCTTTAGCAGCTCACACACACACACACACCTTCAGCAGCTCACACACACACACACCTTCAGCAGCTCACACACACACACACACACACACCTTCAGCAGCTCACACACACACACACACGCACCGTGGAAGCAGAGCAGGTACTCCACTTTCTGAGGCGCGCTGGACACCTGGATGATGGAGATCGGGAAACTGTGTGAGGAGGCGGCGAACACGGCCGAGGCCAACGTCACGTCGTTCTTATCCAGGAACTCTGAACACACACACACACACACATCAAAATTATTTACATTTATTCATTTAGCTGACGCTTTTATCCAAAGCGACTTACAATTGCTATATATGACAGAGGTCGCACGCCTCTGGAGAACGAGGGGTTAAGTGTCTCGCGGTGGATTCGAACCCGAGTCTCTCACACCAAAGGCATGTGTCTTATCCACTGCACCATCACCACCCCATGTCTTTACTATTTATTTGGCTGAAAAAAGCACTTTCGGGCTTTATAAGTGAAAAGACTAGCGGTGTAGCAATATCCTCATATGATACGATATCACTGCGATACTCCACAACACATGGGGAAGGTTAACAACACACACTGTTGATTAACAAGCTAAATTTGGTGTTAGATTGTGTGTGTGTGTAAATGAACAGGCTTCTGGACCCAAAGCACAGACGATAGAGACGCCAGAATAACTAAATTCATGATTCTGAAGATGAAAACACCGAGTTATTTCAGACCTATACGCTTATGCCGTCTCTGACTAGAGATATATAAAATAATGGCGGACACTTTTACACAAATATCCCCATTGCATTATTATACATTATATATAGCAGTTTAATATAGTACTGACACTAAAACTCTGACAACTTGAATTCTCTCACCCATATTGATTATTTTAGGTGAACTACACACAACACAGATTGCCATGATACATACTGGTGCATTTTTGTCTATTATTAATGTTAATCAAACAACAAAATATGTCAAATACATGTATACATGTTAAATAAACCTACAGTGGTTTATTTCATTAGTATTTTTTCGTATTTGTCATGTGTTTCTAATTTGCTTCATTCTTTTTTATACAGGCCTAACCAAACATAAAATAACTAAATTACATATATTTATAATTTATATATTCAATGTACTTTTTTTTATGTTATTTCTGTAATAGGCCTAATATAGGCTAAAAGATGGCCAAATAACAGTATTTCAAGTTCATTTATTATTTAGTTATATTGTGCTTTGTTGGTTTAATGTCTGCTGGAATGTAAAAAAAAAAATCAGTGTTAAACATTTTTTAAATGTTAAATGTTAATTAAATATTTCTAAATTGTAGTTTTGTCATTTTTTGGGGGGAAAAGCAAGACAAAGCACATTTTGATGATTTAACTCATGAAATGGTGAAAAATGGTGAAATTAAAGGGGAGACAGACTGTGTTGCGGCGATGATCCCACCTTCCAGCACGTACTGCTTCATCTCGATCTCGTAGAACTTGTTGGTGCCGATGATGATGCTGTATCCAGTGAAGTGAATGCAGCTGCAGGGTTCAGACGTCTCGATCTCCTGCGATACACACATGAATGGAGGAAGTATTATTACGCTATTTCAACGGTTTTCGGTCTCCTAAAATAGGGTCACATGCAACAAAGGTGAAAACACATCCTCATAATCTCCACTGCATCGTCAGCTCGTCTGAAACGCTTCGGTCTCTCTAAGCCCCGCCTCTCTGAGAGCTGCTCTGCTTTGATTGGTCAGAAGCTAAACGCTCATTATCATATCAGAATCTGATTATGACGTAAGCTGTAAAAAAGTTGACTTGTCAAAATTACAACAAAAAGTTGAAATTGTGTGGAGATGAAGTCAAAAGTTTGACTTAGAGGCATATCTATAAAATTATGGTTGAAATTTGAGTCATATTCAACTTTTTTATGCCTTAAGTTTAACTTTTTTACGTTAAAAATTACATAAGTAAAAATTGAGACAAAGTTGTCATAATAAGATATAATTAAGTCATAAAGAGTCATACTTGTGTAATTGTATACTCATACTTATGAGTGGAGACGTAAAAAAGTCGTAAAATATGAAATTATGAGTCAGAATTCTGATTTAAGGCCAATTATCAATGATATAAAAGGTCAAAACTGCCTTAAAATCTGAATTATGACAAAACGTATGGCCTTAACATTGACTTGAAAGATCATAATTATGACAATACCCAAAAAAAAAAAAAATTATGACAATAAAATTATAAATTTCAATATACAAAATATATTTTTTTTAATAAAAAAAATTACAAATTTTTTCCCCTCATATCTTCAACATTTTATCATTATTCTCGGCATCTTCGACATGAACGGCTCAAACCAGTCTCGGATAAACCAGTGTTTGAGGGCGGGGCATAGAGATGCTGCTCAGCCAATGGGCTGGCATTATGCAAATGTAAGTGAGTCTGAATTACTGACGACTCGTTTCAGTTCAGAATCACTTCTTTCTTTTAAGAGCCGATAACTTTGTACTTTGATGTTCCACACACTACATGTCTGCATCCATGAGGACTTTCTTACACGTCACCTTTCTGATGCAGAACTTGTTGAGTGTGTCGTTGAAGCGCAGGATGGTGATTTTGTTGGGCATCGCAGCACAGATACACATGCCACTGTCGATCTGAAACACACACTTCATTCCTCAGTGTACTGATAAACTAACAGACGTAGAGTATAATAAGATCATGTGAGTGTTTGAACGGTGAGGTCACAGGGGTCGAGTCGAGTGAACGCTTCACCTTTCCAGAAGCGAAGAGATGGCAGCCCTTCACCGCCTCGAAGATGTAGGGACTGAGATCGGGCTGAGCCGGCAGATGAGACTGAGCCAGAGACTGTTTGACCCGCTTAATGTCCACCAGACACAGAGCACGCTCCTCACCTGACACACACACACACGAAATGAACTGGGCAGAATAACAACACTACTGTGTCCCGCAGAGCTGCTTATAGAGGATGTCTACCGATATAAACAAGCTAAATTAAGACCCTTTTAATGCCACCGCTGTCATAAATACTATATATTATTCATATTCATAAGAGCAGACAACATCCCATACAAAAAAATCCCACAAAAGCACTGAGATTTTTATTTTAACAGTTTATTCTGAATGAATATTTTCATCAGCGCTCTATAAGCTCTTAACGGGGTTCGTACAGATGCTGTAAAATGAAATTTCAGGACTTCAATCAGAAATCTCACTTATTAAACACTATCTTTATTATCCTACAAATTATAAAAAAACAAAATGGTACAAATAAAGTGCAAAATTACTGTGGAAACTATAACCATTGAAAGGATTCTATGACAAAGATATGAAGTTTTATATTTATATGGGCAATATTACGTGGCTTTATCAGACAAGCAGCAGTGTTCATTTTTCATAAAAAATATTGTTTCATTGATAAAATTACATATATTGTCTTCTAACACCTTTCAAGGACCTCTTCATAAATGTGGCTTTTTCAAGGGTCTTCTAGGACTTAAATTTCTTAAATCTGCATATTTTTTATATTTACCCCCAGAATTTTCTTTATCTTTATAATTTAGGCCATTTTTTTAACCTAAAAATCTTTGATGTCAAATTCTTACATTTGATAAATGAATTCAATATGCACTATAGGGCTGATATCAATTAACTCAATGTACACAGCAAAATTACAACTGCAATAAATAAAATGTAATGGGATAAATATTTTAAATACCTTTTTGAATATACAATCAATAAATGTTGTAAAAAAAAAAAGGTGAGTCTGTTCCTGAGTGAGTCATTGATTCAAACGATTCGTTCCAAGCGCTGAATCATTCAGGAACTAAACGAGATACGCAATAGTTCGGCTCTGATCTTCGTTTGGAACTATTTTGGTTGGTAAAAACAACACAAACAGTCAATATTGTGTCTAAAATGTAAGTCATTTAACATTCACTACTTGTTTATTGAACAAAAATCAATGTATTATTTGCAATCGTGAGAATATTCAGCAAAATAGCTCCCTTGTCATGTTATGTTACTTAAATATATCATGTTATGAATAAATAAACTCAACATTTTGAGTTTTTGCCTCAGTACATTTCTTCTGTGGGTTTCCTCACCAGTGCTACCAGAAACACACTATATCCATTATTATCAATAGCTGTTAATGTAATAAAATCTGAATCATTCTCGAGTTTCGATGCTTCTCTGGTTATTTGACGGACATTGGAGACATTTGAGCCGTAATGAGACATATTTAAGACGCATCGAATCTGAATTCAAGACATTTTAATACTTTTTAAAAGTAAAAACTCTAGAGTATTATTGAACTGAATCAACACTGAATTAGTGTGTTTTCCAGCTGAAACTAAGGTCATTGATCGTTGCTGAACTTTGCTACAATAACACTGTTATGTTCTTGTTTATTACTGTGAAGCAGTCTGTGTTGTGTAAAGCTGACTGGTCGGATGTATTCTGCAATATCGACTGTTTGTGCTCAAATCATGATGGAGAGAGCAAACATGATCGTCTGTTTGTTGTTATTCTGGCAAACGCAGCACATGAATGCGAGTCAGCACTGACCGGTGATCATGAGCAGTTTGTCGAGCTCCTTCAGGATCTGGATCTGGAACACAGAGTCGAGTCCCGGGATGTGTGTGAGCGAGTTCTTGATGACGTTCAGGGCGTACAAACCCTCCTCTGAGCCCACCAGTACGATCTGAAACACACACACGTCTCACAGCTTTTACACAAGTTTAACACATTTCAAATGTCATTTCTTGACCATTCTTAGTTTTGTTTATTTACAATATTAATGGGTATTATCTATGATTTATTTATCTTTATTTCAGTCTGGGCATCACAGCACTCTGTACGGTTAACTGTACCTGGTCGGTCAGCGGTAAAGTGCAGTTAATGTCCAGCCGGTCGTCTCCCTCCAGCTTCAGCAGAGAGTTCCCCAGCAGCTTCTGAAGAAAACACACACCGAGATGGAGATTACAACACAAGTCACACACGCACCTCACTGAGGAAAGGAGCTTTGAATGCTGGAGCCGAGCGCACGTGTGTGTGTGTGTGTGTGTTCGAGACAGACGAGGACGTTCAGCATCTGCCAGTGTTTCCCACAGAAGCGTTTTAAAACACGTCATGTGTCAAATGACTTCCCTGTTCTCTTTTACACAAATATATTAAAATCTTTTTTTCAACTAGTGAAGCTCGCTTCAACCACTGAATGAAAAAATCATCATAATTCTGACTTTATAACTCGCTTTTGCAAGTTTATATCTCACAATTCTGGAAAAAAGGCACAATTGTGAGATAAAAGTCATAATAATATCTTTTAAATTGTTTTATTCCGAGGAACCAGCTTTAATAACCAACACATTACAACATTAATCAATAATCCTGCTGGATTCATTTGAAATACTATTTGAAATGTTGTTAAAATTAAAATTATATATAAATGTTGGGTTAATTTTTAAGATTTATTTTTTATAATTTCATTAATGTTGAATTATGTATAGACGGAGGGTTCTTTTTTATTGCATATATTTTTATTATTAATTATGTAGAGTTGGCGGGTTTATTTAATTAAATTTGTATTATTTTGTATAGAAATTTTGTATAAATTTGAATTATGCTTAGGTAATGGCTTGATTCTTATGATAAATTAATGTTGAATTATGTATAGACCATTTCACAAGATGTAAACAACACTGGTCCAGAAGCACTTCCTGTTTCAGTTTGTAACTGTTTTCTTTATTTCACATGTAAAGAAAACATCTTACAGATGTTTGTTTAACTTTTTGATTCAGTTTTATATGTTCTGTTGGTTATATTTTATCTCAGCTTTTATGTAGTGTTAAAAAACTGAAACAGAAAGTGCTTCTGGACCAGTGTTGTTTACATCTTGTGAAATGGTCTATTTTTATTAATAAAAAATACCAATACATTTCTCAACACCATTCAAAATATAGTAATACATGTAAAAATAAACACAATAATAATTTAAATATTATAACTAATAATCTCATGTTACCATTTCCATAGAATAAATCCTGGATACAGATGTGAACAAAAGTACATTAATTTCTCATTTATTTAATAAATATTAATATATAATGTCTCAATACTGTGAACAACAAAACAAAACCAAAAAACAACAACAAATGAGCACTTCAAATTTGCTGTGTGAATGAATCAATTGAGTGATTCATTTAAAACAAACTGAGAATCATTTGTCTGTGAATCTTTGTCTTATGAATCATAATTCTCTGTATTATGGTATTTTTTTTTCAAGTGCACGTCTGCAAAATCACAACTGCGGGAAACACTGGTGTGTGCGGATGATAAGCAGCGACACTCGTTCAGCTTCCTGAAGCGCAGAGATGAGAACGTGACCTGATGATGCAAGCAACACGAGCACCAGACAGAGGAGCATGCTGGGTAACAGCATCTGATTACCTGAACCAGCGGCGAGAGAGTCTTCTGGCGTTTAACACCGGCCTACAGCGTTCACAACACAGTCACACGCACAGCGTTAGACAGCAGAACTTAATCAAATAATAATTAAAGGTGCAATGTGTAGTATTTCGCTACAATCTACACACTGCACCTTTAATGTCTGTGAATGTTAGAATTGATCAGTCTTGTCTTGGTATTTCAGTTCATGTGTTTTTGTATTCACTGTCATTACTGAAACAGATGAATGCTAATAAACGCTTACTAAATAATCAAGGCAGACTTTTAAAAATGAGCAGGAAGACCGTATCCAGTGTTGTTCTCTTTAACTAAAACTATTACAAAACAATTGTTAGCTGAAATAAAGCTATTGAGTACAATTATATACTTAAAACTTTAATGTTGCTTTGACAACCAATTAAAATATAATTAAGCTGAAGTAATAAAATAACAATTTAAAAATAGTATTATATATAAAATATTTATAAAATACTCTAATACAATATAAATAATAATACTATAACATCATTAAAAACAGCATTTTGGTTACAGCTGTATTTTTTTGTTAGCTGAAAAAATTACTTATTAAAACTGAAATAAAAATAAATGAAAGCTAGAAATAAATATTACAGAATTTAAAATGACAAAATAAAAAGAATTTAAAATTATAACAAATACTATAATATTATATAAACATAACTAACAACATTTGAACCCTGGGCTGTTTTCGCTTATTTAAATAAAGCGTAAATAAACATCAATAAAAACTTAAACACTTAAATTAGAAATGTTGCCACGGCTTAAATTGTCTATTAACAAACGGAAATTAAATAACTGACGCACAAAAAAAAACGTTGAAGCACTACAATGATTAAAACTAAACCTGAACATTTCAGGGCATCTGCGCAGTAACAGCAATGAGTAAATCATTGTTTTGCCACGACAAAATAAAGGGTTTAAAACAGGCAGATCCCCTGACATCCCTGAAAACTGTCTGACAAACCATGTCATGAGGTCAGACTAAAAAGAGTAGAGCAAAAAGTGCATTTATCCATCATAAAAGTGCATCAATCCATCATAAAAGTGCATCTGTCCATCATGAAGTGCTCCACAGGCTCCGGGGGTTAATAAAGGCGTTCTGAAGTGAAGCATTTGTGTAAGAAAAATATCAATTTTTTATCCAAACAAACTTTTTTAATATAACTCAGATTGTATTTGTCTGAAATAAAGTCATTTACACCTAGGGTGACTTAGGGGTGAGTGAATCATGGGCTAATTTTGATTTTAAAGTGAACTACTCTAAGCAAACACAGGAGTCCTGATCGTTCAGAAGAAACTCACCGAGTCCGCTTCGGTTTTCTCTCGGGATCCTCGGCTTCCGGCGACCACCGACTCCAGAACTGCAACCCAGCGCTGTTTATCGGGGAAACTGGGAGCCATGAAGTACAGAGACTGACCCGGCCAACACGTGGTGTGAGGATGAGACTCCAGCTTCAGCACGTACGGGATATCTGACACACACACACACACACAGGTTAGTTTTCATTGACTTCCATTGATGTTATATCTTTCAGATAAACATTTAATTTACTTTACTGAAGGAAAGAAGACACCTACATCTTATATGAGGAAATTAACAGCAAATTTTTGTTTTTGGGTGAACCATCCCTTTAATTTACACCGTCAGGACGATGCTGTGTTGTTTTAACATTTGATTATTCAGTTTCTGTCCCTGAATTCTGTCAGACTTGCTTTGTTCTGTTGTATTTATATGAGCTGTTGCTTGTCACTTATTTTATTACTGAAGGCACACTTGTCTTCAATAATGTTTGAACTTTATATTAGTTAGTGTCCGCCAGTTTTATCTGGGGTATCGAAATCAATTGAGAATTGTGAAATTTCACTGCTATCTAAAATTGGGGTGGCTTATTTATTAGAATACAATGTTACATGGTCAAAACTTTCTTGTGTTGAGCTCTGTGTTTAATAATTTCATTAATTCTTCTGTGTGTGTGTGTGTGTGTGTGTGTGTGTGTGTGTGTTTTCTGACCTGATTTGGCCGTGTTGATGAGTTCAGAGGCTCCGACAGCTCCGTGAACAGTCACCTCACCGTCCGGCAAACACAACTCAAACTCCTCCAGGGGCTTCACTGAGTCTGAAACACACACAGATTCAGAACACACACACACACACACACTCAACCAGACCCCGACAGAGTGGATCTGTCCATCTAGTACCTTCTGACAGCTCGGACTCGAAGATCGATACTTTAGTCCCGTCCAACACGACGTACTTCTGCTCCCAGCCCTGCTGACCCCTCTTTCCGTTCCTACACACACACACACACACACACACACACACACACACTCAGTGACAGGACACTGAATACTGAATAGTGAGGGCTGGGTATTGACACAAATTTCACAATTCGATTCGATTCAATATCGATTATTTTGGATATCAGTTATAATAAAAGGCAAATTTTCTCAAGGGAATCAAATCTCTGAACTAATGCTGTAAACTATGGGAGTCTAGTTGGGCTTCATTAGCCTAATATGAAGGTAATAATGAACTGTTTTGTAGCTTTACAAACACTTAAATTACACTTTTATTTATTTTTATAATAAGAAGATTATATAAAATATAAACATTTAAATGGCGACTGTCATAAAAACTTGCCAGATTTATTCAAATATGCATTAAATATTGAAGAACATTAAGATTATAATGCATATGTAATATGGTGTATATATTTAGCACAATGCTCCTCTCTAGAGTTATTTTTTCTAGCTGACTAACGAGTTTATGTGGGTTTTCTGAGGTAAATATGACGATACATTGATTACAAGCTGTTTAACTGACGTCTTTCCACGGTTGAAACGCTGATTGAGTGAATCAATGTGACATGATACGGATTTGGATAAGTTGTACTCTATCTTTAACACACTTTCAGATGCTCATTCATGTTTATTTGGCGCTGTGACTGGTATTATTAAGCCGGAAGAGAGATCAGCGCTGCTGCTTCTCCAGAGCGATCTCACGCCACAGCGACAAAACGCTATTTATGTTTTTGAATTTCTAAAGAAAATGGACGTAATTTGAAAATTGAGACTTTGTTTCATATCAATAGTAACAAAGGACAAAGATTATTGTGATATTTTTGGATGCGCGCAGCCGCGATACAATGATCCATTCATTCAAATGAAACAGGATGACTAATCGATTCTTGAGATTTAAGAACCAATATCGGTTAGTAAAAATGAGAATCGATTAATATCGAGAAATCGATATTTATTACCCAGCCCTAGTGAATAGGAGAGAAAAAACCTGGTATTTAAAAAAAACAAAAAAACAACTCAGATTAAAGCACGCTGGGTAACACGAATGCGTAAGCAATGAAGAAGGGGTGTGTTTGGACTGATTTCAATTCTAAAACTGGCCAACAGCATATTTCAAAAACTTCCGATCCCCCCTTTAAGACTTTTTAAGGGCCTTGATTTTCTCTAAATGTATTTATCAATGTAAAGACTCTGAATGATCTGACCTGGGCTGCTTCATCCAGCCCTCCAGACGCACGTGACCCGACGCCTCTTTGACCTGCAGGGCGGGTGAGCTGGCTTTATCCCGACACAGAGCCTCGGAGAAGTGTGTGGCGAACTCCACCGGCAGCCCACAGGTCGCAGGCAGACACGGGGAACACTTCGGGTGGCAGAGGGTACGACACTCTGGCGGAGAGGAGGGAAACAGAGACGAGGGATGAGAGCAAAGATATACTAGTGTGTGTGTGTGTGTGTGTGTGTGTGTGTTTTCATACCCAGGCACGTAGCAGCTTGTCGGCCGAAGTGAACCGTATCCAGACAAACGGTACATTTGGCCGCTCTCATGTTGAGCCCCACCGTGAACCGATGAGGGATGTTGTGGTGCATCCGTTCCTTCACACGCCGACCGTACTCTACACACACACACACACACAGTTAGAGTGGGTTAATAATGTCCTCTTGAGCATCTCTGGAGTGTGAATGATGTCAAAGGTCGTCAGTCCAGCAGATGAGCAACGGCCAGAACACAACCATCAGCAAGTCCGTCTCTATCTGAGCAGAGCATGCGAACAGAAGCATCATCGAGAGGAGCGATCACATGCTTCAGCTCACGAGGAAGAGAAAGATGGAGAAGCACAAATCTTCAGAGCAGAAACTATATATACTGTGAATAATGTCATTTTGCATCTCAAGTAATCTTGACTTAAGAACTTTTAGAGGTTTACGCTACGTCAGAACGTAGGCTCTCTATTGGCCAACATCTCACTCATGACCAGCGTCGGCCAATAGTGAGCCTACGTTACACTACGTGAACTCACTCGAGGCCCACACAGAAGAAAACGAATAGTTGTAATGATAAATTAGTTGTTTTTGAAATAAATGCATTTTAAAAGACTAATCCACTCTAAACGCACACCCGCACTAGTGAGGGACATCCCTGATGATGTCAGATCGCACATAATCAAAACAACAATCATGATAGTAGCGTAGATGATATATATCGCAGTTGGACATTGCAAATAAAACCCGCGCAGATTCTAGAGCCTAGCTGAAAGCATACTAGAGAAACTAAATAACCCTGTGATGGTCTTCCTTTACGAGTCACGCCCTGGGCCTAAAAATGCAACTTCTTCAATCCCAGTAAAACCAATGCAATTAATTTTTGTTCTATAATATTTATTCTTTTTAATTTAGTATTTTGAGACAATTTGATTGAATTTATCAATATTTATGGTCTATTTTTTCAATGGAAATATTTTTTTTTCTATATGTATATTATTTTTTTTAAAAATTATTAATGCAGTATTTTAGTTTAATATAGAGTCTAGGCCTTCAGAAAAAAAATATTTTTTGAAGAAAATTAGCACCATCTGGTTACAGTATAGAGAAAAAGCGTAGGACCATGGTGTAGCCACTAGATGGCATGTACAGCTCTCTATGGAGAGGCATGTGAATTCCCCAGATGTTTATGATGTACACTTTTTTTTTTTGGTGGATTTGAATATATAGTTGAAACAATCTCAAAAACTATTTCTTATTAAAAAAATTTTTTTTAGAAAAACAATTTTTTTGTTTTTGTCAATTTCCCATTCATTTACTATGGGGGTCATTTTTGACCAAAGACCACAAGTGTGACTATTTTTTTAAGACCACTTAGCATGCTCAGATCATGACCTCAATTTTTTTTTGTATTCACATACCACATGCCAAAAAAGTCACCAAGTATCATAACCTTCTGATGAAGCTGTGATTTTTAATAATTCAAAACAGAAAATTATTCGGTCAGAGGAAGTGACAGAGGACCATCAGAGGGTTAATAAAAAAAGAATATTGAGCTCAAACTGCGTGCTAAACTAGTGGAGGGGGGGTTGCCAAGGTGTTGCTAGGGGTTTTCACTATCAGTGGCATCTGATTCTCATCAGCGCACAACCCTAAACTAAACACATCTGAGCTGATCTCAGAGCAAATGATGATGAGTGACAGAAACGGAGATCGAGAGAGAGACACACTTACTTTCAAACGTCACCCTCCTCTTTTCTGAAATAGCAGAAGAGAAACAGCTCTCAGATTCGAGAGAGAGAGAGAGAGAGAGAGAGAGACACTGATCTCGAGACGGCATGAGCTTCATTCATCTGTGATACGGACACACAGTCTCACACACACACACACACTACCAGTCAAAGGATTTGTAATGTTTATAAAAGAAGTCTCTTCTGCTCACCAAGACTGCATTTAAAAATTAATAAAAATACAAAAAATAAGTAATATTGTTATATATTATGACAATTTAAAATAACTGTTCTCTATGTGAATATACAGTAAAGTGTGCCGTAATTGATCATCATTACTCCAGTCTTCAGTGTCACATGATCCTACAGAAATCACTCTAATATGAGGATCTGAATGAATAATTTTATTTCTTTTCATTTCCTTTTCCTCTTCAGAACATGGTCATTGATAACAGAGCATATTTAAACAAAAAATAATAAAAACAAAATCTCAGCATGTTCAAAAGAGAAGAAAAAGAATATAGAAAAAAAAAGGAGAAGGAAGAAGCTAACTTATGATGTTAGATCAAGAAACATTTATGATTATTATTAATGTTGAAAACAGTTTTATTTCAGGATTCTTTGATGAATAGAAAGTTCAAAAGAGCAGCTTTTATTTGAAATAGAAGCTTTTGTAACATTATAAATGTCTTTACTGTCACTTAATATTTATCCTTTTATTGAATTTCTCCCTCAGAAATTCAAAAAATTAATAAAAAAAATAAAATAAAAATCTTACTGACCCCAAAACGTTAGTGTTCAATGTTGCAAAAGCTTTCTATTTCATTACTACAAATAACTTCATCAAAGAGTCTAGAAATTAAAATGGTACACAACCTTTTTCAACATTCATATTAATACTGAATGTTTCTTGATCATCAGATCCTGAAGGATCATGTGACACTGAAGACTGGAGTAATGATGATCAATTACACTTGACTGTATATTCACAGAGAGAACAGCTGATTTACATTATGCAGCTTTGGTGAGCCGAAGAGACTTAACAAAGCTTTAGCCTGGTAGTGTCCACAGACACTTTAGTTGATGTGAAACACACACACGTGTGTGTGTGAGTGCACTGACCCTCCGGCGTGGAGCTCTCCTTGCGACGGGCCGAGCTCGAGGGGTTCAGGAGGCTGCTGGGATTGGGCTGGCGCTCCGGAGACTTCACGATGGCCGACATGAGGATCTGCTGCCGGGCCGAGGCCGGTGTGGGCGGAGCCACGTGCTCCTGCACCTTAAAATGAGCCGCTGAGAGACAGAGAGAGAAGATCCTCAACCACAACAACATTCACATCATCCGAGGAAACTAGAGCCAGACCGATATTATCGGCCGATATTAGGCATTTTCCAAACTATCGGTATCTGCAGTTATAATCAGTCCCTCCAGGATTTCACGATTTTTTTGTGTGATTTTTGCGATCAAATTGACTGATTTTGTGGTGGTAATTTCCAAAAATTTGTGAAAAAATTTGCGATTTATATTTAACATTTACCATACTGAGTATTCACAGTCATTCCAGAAAAACGTGGAGTTTTTTTTGTGTGAATGTTGTGGGCAAAAATTGATTGATTATGCGGCCCGTTTTCTTTAAGAATGCGATGGAATATGCGGGATATTTATGCAATTTTATGCGATGAAATTGCAGGAATTTGCAAAAATTGCGGTTTGATGAAAAAGAGAAAAAAAGTGATTCCCCCAACACCCTGTTAATGTAAGAGTCATTTCTTATTCCTTACTTTGATAAACAAGCATACTAGATCATAGAAAGTGCTGGGAATATTTAATTTCTCATCTTGTTTTATTTCAGACTGTAACGAGTGTAAATAAGGTGTGGCCCCTTTAAGAGCTGCGCGCTCCTGTTGAACTCTCTGCGGTGTTATATGTGCCCCTCGAACACCCCATGTGTGCGGGTAATTTCTGTTTGATGCTACTTCTTTTACATTATGTTGTTTATTAAGTAACGACGTGATGGTAGAACGTGTGACAGACAGTTATACGAGTTCGATTTGTGAGATGTCAATCGCCTCCGTGAGTCTGTCTGAGCTGTCCCGTCGCGTAATTGCGTCACTTCATAACGTTCCCATGGAAACAGGGGGAAATGGCTGCTCTTGTGTGAAGCAAACGCAACATTTTTCAACTTTCTGCTAAGATACATGTGACTTTTTTGCAACGAAAATGCGAGGATTATGAAATCATGCAAACCCCGCATATTTTGCACGTAAATCGGCAATTTATGCGGCGAAAGTGCGGCGTATTTGAAAAAATGCGGCCCCGCATAAATATGCGGACTTTGGCTGATTTTGCATTGAATTCAGCGATCGCATAATCGCGTTTTTCTGGAGGGACTGTATAATGGCCGATAGATGAATATTTCAAAAACAACATAAAAACGGACGAAACACGCTTGAACCATGTCATGAGTGTTGGAGTTGTATAGTTTGTCCACCAGAGGGCGCTCTACACCATTCCTGTTGGAAACACTCGTTGAGTTGGTCACGAGACATACATTGCTTGAATAACAATTAAAAGATCATCCCCATCAGTTCTCTAAACTCGAATAAGCATGACAACATTTGTGGCCGGCGGAAGTTTCCTTGGCCTGTTATATTGAAAATGTATGTTTTACACTTTGCAGTATGACGTAATCCATCGCTAAATTATGGTTCATCATAGACTAGCTAATAGGGATGCACCGATACCACTTTTTTGGAAAACGAGTACGAGTACGAGTACTTGCATTTCAGTACTCGCCGATACCGATACAGAGTACTTAATAAAAAAAAAAAAAAAAACATGATTTAAATATTTTTATATACGGGTTTTTAGGTCCTTGATTAAATTACTTGGGTAACACTTTATTTCGATAGTCCACTTTACTAACTATAAGTAACTTTTCAATTACATGTCAACTAACTGTCATTAGAGTATTAGTAGACTAGAGTATTAGTACGATCAGCTTAATATCTGATAACACTTTATTTATTTGGTCCCCCAACAGACATTCAACTGACTATAAGTAACTTGGCGACTACAAGTAAACTTATTCTCCTAATCCAAAGCCATTCACTTTGAAATTGTTCCACACCAGTGATGCACGGGTTGATCCAAAATGAGCGGGTGCCTGCGCCGCGGTCACCCGCGGTTACCCGCAGTTACGGGTCATCCAAAAATATTTTTAATGATATTTGGGTCGCGGTCGGTCAGGTCGTTTGGAAAAAAATGCCAATTAAACCTTTGTATTTAGATAGAATTTTCTATGAAATATATAGGCCGAATTTATTTATTGGCTGAATAACTGGCACGAAGATGACACACAAGCTCAGTCTAAACAGTTCTCAGTTCTGTACTGGTGTGATCCGAGAACCGCTGTACCTCTGCGTTCGTTACTACGCGGATGCGCAGTATCAGCAGTATCAACAACATGTCTCAGTTCAGTGAACTGTTAGAGTTACTGGAGTAAAATATAATTCGGGATATTGGTTTATTTCAACTCGGAGGGACTGTCAGGCATGTCTGAAAGTGAGTAACTGTAGTACCTTGTGGATCAGCACTGACGCAAGACGTGAACTGATGCGAATGATTCAGTTCGATTTAGCGTACTGGTTCGACCGGTTCATTAAAAAGAACCGATTCGTTCACGAACCGGCCATGTCTATGATCACTAGTCTGCAGAGAGATGGAGGCGGCAAGAGAAAAGGTGAAGACTGGGGAGTGGAAGCTCCGCAAATACACAAATAGAAAGAGTAAGTGTGGGAGACATTTACCGAAATAATGAAAGATGATGACCAAAGTGCTGCCTTTGTTATATGTAGGCTACGTCTTCTTGCGATGCTGTGTTGTTACACGTTTATGGCCCAATGACGCTACGATGAGCATGTACTACTTTTAAAAAATACGGTCAGGAAGAGGGTCGGGTACAATATTTTCTTACTTTTTTTGCGGTCCGAGTAGTGGGCGGGTAGTTGAAAACGTTGGTAGTGTGCGGGTTGTTTATACATTGACCCGCGCATCACTGTTCCACACGGCTGACATGTCTCCCCATCTCCCCGCTCTGAGCTGCAGCCGGAGCCTGGGGGTGGGCATTCGGCGCCTGTGATTAACCCATTTCTCAGAACATGGTATCGGTCCCCGGTATCGGGGGACTTTTAACGAGTACGAGTACTTTAGAAAATGTGGTATCGAGGCCGATACCAGATACCGGTATCGGTATCGGTGCATCCCTACTAGCTAACCACAAAGCTAGCTAATGCCACTATCATCAGTCTGTTCTGTTGTGACAATAAAATAAACTTTTAGAAAGTTTCTTTTTAAAATGCATTATCATATTATTTTGGTTAAAACTCATAAATAACTACAAATAATTAATGTTAGGGAAATCTGTTAATGTTTTGTTGCGCCTTTCTGAAATAAAAAAATAGTATATCGGCCAATATATCGGCATATCGGATTTTAAAACCAAAAAATATTTATATTGGTATCGGCCTTCAAAATCCTTTATCGGTCGGGCTCTAGAGGAAACAGGAGGAAATGTGAAAGACAGATATAATAGAGTGCACCACCGTATAATAGAGTGCGTCACCGTAACGTCTATAGAGTGCAATTCACAAACTCACCACTAGATGGCGCTAAAAATGACACACTGCACCTTTAAAGCGTTATAAGTAGGGTTGGGAATCAAAAATTTATTCCATTGTGAGCATTTCAATACGACTTTAAACCGTTCAAGAGCGAGACGACGGTCTTCTGTGACGCACACGAGCGCGTTTACAGAAAAGCAATTTTAATGTGATTTTAAACCATACAAGCGCTGTTTTCTGTGCTAACTATGGCCATGTCCACACTAATACGTTTTTGTTTGAAAACGTCTATTTTTCTCTCCGTTTTGGCCTTCCGTCCACACTGAAATGCCATTTTAAGTCTAAGTTTGGAAAACACTCTCCAAAGTGGATAAATTTGAAAACACCGTTTTCGCGTTGTAGTGTGGACCGTGAAACCGGAGGTATTTCAAAACGATGACGTAAGTTTAGTCATGTGATCCATGTAGTACCAATAGATATTCATGTTTATGGGTATTGTGCCTGTTATGTGTTGTTCATTTTTACACTATTGCTAAAATATGTTACTTCCTATGTGCTATTCTTCATAGCACTACAAATATGACAGATAATGTACTTGCATTTGCTGTCCTGCGGCAAAACTGGAGAGCAGTTGCGTTTTAGACCAAACATATGGTGACAGAATGCGACCTGGACGCATCCGTGATGGTGAGATATTTTGCTAAATCAAATTATCCTGTTATTGTGCGATAACATTATTATCTCAGTGAGCTTCACGCATGCTCAGTAAAGTGAATTTAGAAGTTTCTCATCCACACTGAAATGTCAGAAAACACCTGAAAACGCTAGTGTGGACGGAGAGCGTTTTTAAATGTATCCGGATTAACGTGGACGTAGCCTATATCAGTCGACTCTTAAAGGGACAGTACTAATATTCCTGCTGCCGTCTCACTAATAGACAGAGAAAATTCCCTCGTTCCTGACTGAATAACTTTTGGAACTATATTTTATTTATACAGTGCAGTGTTATTTTACATTTGATCACAGTTTCTGCACCTGAAATCTTATTTCACTCGTACCTTTGTTCAGTTGTGTCTATTTGTTGCGATTGCTAATTTTTTATTAGTTCTTTTTTATTACCGAGTGTTTGTTGTCTTTAAAAGCGGAGTAACTGCGACTGATTCTGCGTGTCTCACCCTCTTCTCGTAGGGATCGCAGCTCGATCCTCATCTTCTGCAGCGCCTCCTCCAGCTCTGAGCATCGCGATCTCTCCTTCTCCAGCGCTGACTTCATGTCGCTGTACTGGAGAGGCAGGGCCGGCTGAGACGACAGCGCTGTGGCTCCGTTAGCCGTGACACCGACCTCCTCACGCCGACGCCCGAATATACCCTGACACACACAGAGCACACCGTACAGCTGAAGATCATGCTCACATGATGACCGATATTAATATTAATATTGGTTATCGAACATTAATATGGTTTATTATATATTATTAGACTCTGATTGGTTGACTAATATTCAAATATAAGTTCACAACACAATGACATCAAGCCACAACACAATGAAATCATGTGTGTTGTTCCTTGATTCCGTTGTGTTGGAGCCTGATTTCACTGTGGTGTTGGCCTGATTTCACTGTGTTGTGGCCTGATTTTGTGGTGTTGGCCTGATTTCATGGTGTTGTGGCCTGATTTCGTGGTGTTGTAGCGTTGTGGCCTGATTTCGTTGTGTTGTGGCCTGATTTCGCTGCGTTGTGGCCTGATTTCGTTGTGTTGTGGCCTGATTTCGTTGTGTTGTGGCCTGATTTTGTGCTGTTGTAGCATTGTGGCCTGATTTCACTGTGTTGTTGGCCTGATTTCACTGTGTTGTGGCCTGATTTTGTGGTGTTGGCCTGATTTCATGGTGTTGTGGCCTGATTTCGTGGTGTTGTTGGCCTGATTTCACTGTGTTGTGGCCTGATTTTGTGGTGTTGGCCTGATTTCATGGTGTTGTGGCCTGATTTTGTGGTGTTGGCCTGATTTCATGGTGTTGTGGCCTGATTTCGTGGTGTTGTGGCCTGATTTCGTGGTGTTGTGGCCTGATTTTGTGGTGTTGTAGCGTTGTGGCCTGATTTCGCTGTGTTGTGGCCTGATTTCGTTGTGTTGTTGCCTGATTTTGTGGTGTTGGCCTGATTTCATGGTGTTGTGGCCTGATTTCGCTGTGTTGTGGCCTGATTTTGTGGTGTTGTAGCGTTGTGGCCTGATTTCGTTGTGTTGTGGCCTGATTTCGCTGTGTTGTGGCCTGATTTCACTGTGTCGTGGCCTGATTTCGCTGTGTTGTGGCCTGATTTCGTTGTGTTGTGGCCTGATTTCGTTGTGTTGTGGCCTGATTTTGTGCTGTTGTAGCATTGTGGCCTGATTTCACTGTGTTGTTGGCCTGATTTCACTGTGTTGTGGCCTGATTTTGTGGTGTTGGCCTGATTTCATGGTGTTGTGGCCTGATTTCATGGTGTTGTGGCCTGATTTCATGGTGTTGTGGCCTGATTTCGTGGTGTTGTGGCCTGATTTTGTGGTGTTGTAGCGTTGTGGCCTGATTTCGCTGTGTTGTGGCCTGATTTCGTTGTGTTGTGGCCTGATTTTGTGGTGTTGTGGCCTGATTTTGTGGTGTTGTAGCGTTGTGGCCTGATTTCATTGTGTTGTGGCCTGATTTTGTGTCGTTCTAGCGTTGTGGCCTGATTTCGTTGTGTTGTGGCCTGATTTTGTGGTGTTGTAGTGTTGTGGCCTGATTGCGTTGTGTTGTGGCCTGATTTTGTGGTGTTGTGGCCTGATTTTGTGGTGTTGTAGCGTTGTGGCCTGATTTCGCTGTGTTGTGGCCTGATTTCACTGTGTTGTTGGCCTGATTTCACTGTGTTGTTGGCCTGATTTCACTGTGTTGTTGGCCTGATTTCACTGTGTTGTGGCCTGATTTTGTGGTGTTGGCCTGATTTCGTGGTGTTGTGGCCTGATTTCGTTGTGTTGTGGCCTGATTTTGTGGTGTTGTGGCCTGATTTTGTGGTGTTGTAGCGTTGTGGCCTGATTTCGCTGTGTTGTGGCCTGATTTTGTGGTGTTGTAGCGTTGTGGCCTGATTTCGTTGTGTTGTGGCCTGATTTTGTTGTGTTGTGGCCTGATTTTGTTGTGTTGTGGCCTGATTTCGTTGTGTTGTGGCCTGATTTCGCTGTGTTGTTTATGATCTATGAACTATACTGGGACCAGCCACTTTCACTTTTCAGGACTTAATATTTTCGAGACAGACCTTCTTCTTCTTGGTGGGCTGGTCCATCTTGGCCTGCAGGAAGTCGATGAGTTTGGTCTGCTGTGAGATGGTTCCCTCCATTTTCACTTTCTCGTGAGAGTAGACGGCCTGAGGAGAGACGTGAAGGAAGAACTGTTACGATTAAGACATTAAAGAGTGTGTTCATGTACATGTATACCTCTGTGCTAAATATTTTTCAAGATTACACATGACTGTTTACCGAAAGAAAAAAGGGGACTCTTATTATGAAGTTCCCGGAAGTGCGTTGTTCTTGGTTGAGCGAACGATGTAGAGTGAAATAAGGTGTGCATGAATAAACAGGTGATGGATTAATTTCTGAAGTGTGTCTTTAAGTGCATCAGAACAACACGAGTTCCCATTATTTTCCCATCAGGATCACAGGAAAAGGTTCGGTTCTCTCAGTCTTGAGCATGAGTGTGTGTGTGTGGACACCTGGATGTTCTCCAGCTGGTACTCGAGGTCGGTTCTCTCAGTCTTGAGCATGTCTGTCTGATCCAGCGCGTCCTGAAGGCCCTGCGTGAGTCTGAAGATATGGGTCTTCTGCAGGTCCATCTGCTGCTGCAGCTTCCCTTGCTGACACACACACACACACACGTTAGTAACATGTGAACACTTCTGAAGATGTAATGACTACATAAATCACTCATAATTGCACAACATAATATTGTGATAAGGTAAGGAAAGGAAATAGGTAAGGGAAGAGGAAAGTGATGTTTTGTGCTTATTAAAATATACAATATAATACTGTTATAATTTAATAACATATTGTTTTGCATATATACTGCATGCATATTATATATTTTAACATAACTTCTCTGCATCTATCTTTTATTAGCATAAATGTTATTTTATTTCATATAATATACATGACATAGTAAATTAATATTTTATATATTACTTTGCATTTATACTGAATTTAGTATAATATATTTACACGTGTGTGTGTGTGTTTGAAACATTTTTTTACATTCATCTTATTTTATTTTGCATATATTTTACTTTATTATAAAATAATATTTTAATGTCTTTAATTTTAAACTGACAGCAAATATAGTATTTTTAGCATATATACTACATACATATTATTATTTATTAGGGGTGCACGATTCAGAAAATGTCACGATTCGATACCGATTTTTTGTCTCGAGATTCGATTCAAAATCGATTTTCGATTCAAAAACGATTCTCGATTCAAAAAACGATTCGCAGGTCTACATAAATGTAGTTTTTGTACTTGTACATAAATGTACATAAATGTACTTTTTCCTATGTGATTGATTGCAGTAGACATAATTTAAAAGAAAAGTTTGATATTACTTTATATGTCTTCATACAAAAATAAAAACTTTTGCAACTAAAAAGTGCGAAGTGCCAAGCTTTGGCCAGCTTTTAAATACATTTAATTCAAGTTTAAAATAAAACTTAAATAAAAAGCTTTTACATTTAGCTTTAAAGTGCTGTAGTCAGATCAAACAAACAATTATGCTAAATGTGGTTTAAGGAGTAGGCCTACTTCAGCTACCAGGTTGACTGTTGAAATGTGAACTCGACTGGGCGGATTGAACTTCCTAAAAATATATACTAATTTCATAGAACCCTTGCGAAAATATTTTAAATAAATTTAAAAAAGCCACCGCTAGGTTAGATTGATTTGTTTAGATCCAGTGAAGTCGTTCATAGGTGCGTAATTTGAAAAAATATAGCCTATGAATCGATTTTTGGAATTCTATGAATCGATTCTGAATCGGTAAAGATTGAATCGCGATTTAAATGTGAATCGATTTTTTTTGCACACCCCTATTATTTATGATTTTAATATACATTTATATTTTATATTATATTATCTGTTATAGATATACAGAAGTGTTCTTCACCTCTTCCATGAGTCTCTGTTTGAGTTCTCTCTCCGTCTCAAGTTTCTGCTGGAGGCTCCTTGCGTTCATCTCCAACATGGCATGTTTCTTCTCCAGATCATTGAGCTGCAAACAACACAACACAATAAACAACACACCAATATAAACAACACAACGCAACGACATAAACAACACAAACAACACAACAATATAAACAACACAACACAATAAACAACACCACAACAACACTTAAATAAATATGCACACACTTCTGCATTAAGGGTTTCTGTTCGGTTTCTGTGTTGTGTAAGTTAATAACTAATGATCTTCGCAACGGAAGTGAATCAATCGGACAATAACTTTATTCTAGAGCTGCTGTAAAGCCAAACAGTGTGTTACTTAAATTATTATTATTACTGTAAAGCTGCTGTGAAACAATATACAGGTGAAACTGGAAACATGAGAATATGGTGCAAAAGTTCATTTATTTCAGTAAATCAACTTAAAAGCTGAAACTAATATATTATATAAACTCATTTCATCAAGCCTTTATTTGTTATAATTGTGATGATTATGGATTAAAATTAGAATATTGTGAAAAGGTTTTCATATCTGTAATCCATAATCATCAACATTATAACAAATAAAGGCTTGAAATATCTCACTTTGCATGTAATGAGTCTTTATAATATATTAGTTTCACATTTTAAGTTCTCATTTTTTCAGTTTCACCTGTATATTGTTAAAGCGCTGTATAGATGAAGACCAGCACAACGATGAAGGCGTCAAGCAGACGGGACAGACGGGTTGTGTTGTTCCCAGTGTTCAGCTAATGCGCAGCGACGTGTTCATGTGCACCTCAGTGTTGCATTAATCTCCATCAGCTGTAGCGCTTAATCGCGGCTTGTTAAACTCCATATTGGCATGAATATTAATATCACAGACGGAGGGCCGGAGCAAACCGGGATAAAATGTTGCGGGTGCACTGCAAAAAAAAAAATGATATTCCTACTTAGCATTTGTGTCTTGTTTCCAGTCCAAATATCAAAAAATGATTAAATCAAGATGCATTAACTAGATGAGTAAAACGCCATTAGATATTAAGTCTTGTTTTCTGGGGGAAACAGAGTTTTTTTGCCAAAAACAAGTTATTATCTGCCAACGGCGTAAGAAAAATAATCATGTTTCCGTTTGAAGTAACATTTTTTTTTTTTCAACATTGGCAGATAATTTTACATGTTTTAAACAACTCACTTCATTCGGATTTTTTTCAATATTATTGACAAGACATAATATCCAATGGTATTTTACTCATCTAGTAAACGCATCTTGATGTAAGAATGTTCAGATATTTGGACTGGAAACCAGTCAAACACTGAGTGAGAAAAGCATTTTTGGCAGTGTGTGTGTGTGTGTGTGTGTGTGTGTGTGTAACTCACAGTATCAGACAGACTCTCTGCTTTGAGTCTCTGTTCTTTCAGCGCCTGTTGCAAAGCCACGATCTCGGCCTTGTGTTCCCGAACGGCGAGTTCGACCGCCTGCCGAGACTCTGAGCTGCGCTGGTCCGCTCGCAACCTGCCGCAACACACACGACAAACCACATGATATACTGAGAAAACTGTGCCTGTGTCGAGTTTGAGCAAGATGACAAGTTATACTGAATATTAGGGCTGGGTATTGAGACAAATTTCACAATTCGATTTGATTTCGATTCACAAGCTTGCAATTCGATTCGATTTCGATTCAATTTCGATTATTTTGATATCAGTTACAATAAATGGCCATTTTTCTCAAGGAAATCAAATCTCTGAACTAATGCTGTAAACTATGGGACTCTAGTTGGGCTTCATTAGCCTAATATGAAGGTAATAATGAACTGTTTTGTAGCTATACAAACACTTAAATTACACTTTTATTTATTTTTATAATAAGAAGATTATATAAAATATAAACATTTAAATGGTGACTGTCATAAAAACTTGCCAGATTTATTAAAATATGCATTAAATATTGAAGAACATTAAGATTATAATTCATATGTAATATGGTGTATATATTTAGCAAAATGCTTCTCTCTAGAGTTATTTTTTCTATCTGACTAACGAGTTGATGTGGGTTTTCTGAGGTAAATATGACGATACATTGATTACAAGCTGTTTAACTGACGTCTTTCCACGGTTGAAACGCTGATTGAGTGAATCAGTGTGACGTGATCCGGATTTGGATAAGTTGTACTCTATCTTTAACACACTTTCAGATGCTCATTCATGTTTATTTGGCGCTGTGACTGGTATTATTAAGCCGGAAGAGAGATCAGCGCTGCTGCTTCTCCAGAGCGATCTCACGCCACAGCGACAAAACGCTATTTATGTTTTTGAATTTCTAAAGAAAATGGACGTAATTTGAAAACTGAGACTTTGTTTCATATCAATAGTAACAAAGGACAAAGATTATTGCGATTTTTTGGATGCGCGCAGCCGCGATACAATGATCCATTCATTCAAATGAAACAGGATGACTAATCGATTCTTGAGATTTAAGAATCGATATCGGTTTGTAAAAATGAGAATCGATTAATATCGAGAAATCGATATTTATTACCCAGCCCTACTGAATATATGCATATAAGAATAATATACAGACACAATCGAGTGATATCAACATATTTAAAGTCCCCCTGTACTCATTTTTGATGAGCAAAATTACACATTTCAACGTTTTTTCCTTGAAAATAATTTCTTCATGCCTTAAAATATCTTGACTGTAACCTCCACTCACTCCCTCAGAGATCCACTGGTTGTCGATCACACGTTGATCTGATTGGTTACAAGGTGGTTTGTGACGTCAGAAACACCAGCGATTTCAAAGCGTGTTTTTGAGACTGTCTTTGGTTCAAAATACTCAGCAATGCTGTCCACTTATCAACTTACACATGGTGTGTGTGTTAAAGCGTATTAAAAACACCACATACACACATAAACAACATTAAACGCTGGATTTACACCACAGGGGGACTTTAAATGATTTTTGAAAGAGTCTCTTCTGCTCACCAAAGATGCCATTTATTGGATCAATGATAAAGTAAAAAAATAAAAATAGTGAAATAGTATTATAATGTAAATCATCTGTTTTCTATGTGAATATACAGTAAAGTGTAATTTATTCCTGAATTTATCATCATTACTCCAGTCTTCAGTGTCACATGACCCTCCAGAAATCACTCTAATATGAGGATCTGATGCTCAAGAAACATTTATGATTATTATTATCAGTGTTAAACACAGTTTTGTGGAAACTGATGCATTTTGTTTATGACCAAAGTTTCAACATTTGTTTGAAATGGAGTCTTTTATGGCATTATACACGTCACTTTTGACCAGTTTAATGTCCGGGTGGTGAGCTTGCGTTACCGGTTCTGCTTCTCGTTGTCCAGAAGTCTCTGCATGTCTCGGGTTCTGCGCTCCGCCTGGTTCTTCTCGTCCTCCAGAGCCGATCTCCAGTTCTCCCACTGCCTCTCCTTCTCCAGGAGCTCGTCGTTCAGGCTCTCCAGCTCCACCACCTGCTCCTCCAGCATACTGCACGTGGTCTTCAGGGTCTCGATGTTCTGCGGACACACATTCGTATTATTCCCAAGCATGACATTTTATTTACAGCAGACAATGAAGTAACTGACCAATCAGATCAACGTGTGATCGGCAACCAGTGGATCTCTGAGTTTCAAGGAAAAAACACTTATATGTGTAATTTTGGTGGTCAAAGATGAGTTTTAAGGGATAATATTATTGACTACAGGCGGACTTTAATAGCTTTATGCAACAACAGTTTTGTCCCTATTGATTTTCGATACACAAGTGCACGTATTCAACAGATGGAAAGTGAATTGTGAATAGAGCCCGACCAATAAAGGATTTTGAAGGCCGATACCGATACAAATATTTTTTGGTTTTAAAATCCGATATACCGGCCGATATTTTTTTTTTTTTTTCGAAACGCGCAACAAAACATTAACAGATTTCCTTAACATTAGTTATTTGTAGTTATTTATGAGTTTTAACTAAAATAATATGATAATGCATTTTAAAAAGAAACTTTTTTCTTTTATTGTCACAACAGAACAGACTGATGATAGTGGCATTAGCTAGCTTTGTGATTAGCTAGTCTATGATGAGCCATAATTTAGCAATGGATTGTCATACTGCAAAGTGTAAAACATACATTTTCAATATAACAGGCCAAGGAGAGATGATACGTCTCATTGCTGTAACGGTCACGCGCTATTAAAGAAATACTTCAGTCACATTGTCAAAAGTTAAAAGGACAGTCGGTCAACGACACTGTAACAACGTAACGTAACTATCACTAGCTATTTACGCTTCACTCTCGGCTTATTTAACAGCAGCAAAAATGTTGTCCTGCTTATTTGAGTTTAGAGAACTGATGGGGATGATCTTTTAATTGTTATTCAAGCAATGTATGTCTCGTGACCAACTCAACGAGTGTTGCCAACAGGAACGGTGTAGAGCGCCCTCTGGTGGACAAACTATACAACTCCAACACTCATGACATGGTTCAAGCGTTTCGTCCGTTTTTATTTTTGAAATATTCATTTATCGGCCATTATAACCGCAGATACCGATAGTTTGGAAAATGCCTAATATCGGCCGATAATATCGGTCTGGCTCTATAAAAACAGACCACAAAGAGATGTGACTCCACTTTCAAGGAACCGTGAGTGCAAAGACGCTCCACATATGGGGTTGGAGTGTGTGTGTGTGTGTGTGTGTGTGTGCGTGCCTGCTTCTGGTTGTTGAGGTGCATCTCTCGGTCGGCCACTTCTCTGCGCAGACGGTCCACATCTTGACTGAGCTGCAGTCGCTCCTCGCTCTCCAGCGTCAGCTCGTCCAGCTGTTTGGACAGGTAGAAGTTCTGCCGGTTCAGCTCGGCGTTCTCCTGGGTCAGCTGGGTCAGCTGCTCCTCCAGGTCTGTGATCACCTGTGACACAGTTCACTGCCCTATCAGCATCACCGGCTATTACATGGCAGATACATATTAAACTTTAATTAAAACTCATTTAGACAAACAAAAACAAAATAAGATTATATAAAATGTTATTATGTGATATTAAATGGTATTACATTTTTTTTATCATGTCAAGCATTTGAGGTTCAAGTACAAAGAGCAAACACAATAATACAATAAAATTTCATCGACCATTTTAAATGGTCATAAAAATCGATTTTCCTCATAAAAATACACTTTTTTTGTGACCCGGGCCAGCTCAACTCGAGAAAACAATTAGCAATCGCTCAAATAAACAGTGTTTTAACATTATCAAGTGCAGAAACTGTAATCAAATGTAAAATAACACTGCACTTTATAAATAAAATTTACATTACAATTCCAAAAGTTATTCAGTGAAGAACGAGGGAATTTTCTCTGTCTTCTGTAGCGTGATTAGAGTTATTATAGAGACGGCAGGAATATTAGTGCTGTCACTTTAAGAGCTGCGCAGATCCAATGCACTGATACACACTGAAAACGAGTCGTTTCACGCTCAAATAGTTTAAACTTATATTAAAATGCTCACAAAGGAATCGATAAGAGGAGTCAAAATTTTATATTTGAAGAGTTCAGATGCAAAAGCCTCTAAATGCAATTTGAAATTTTCTTCTTTAATGATCATTTTTATCAAACTTGTATATTTAAGTTCAGTAATTTCACTTAAATAACAATTAATAGGTAATTATCATTGCCATTTAAGTGAAATCACTGAACTTAAATATACAAGCTTGATAAAAATCATCATTAAAGAAGAAAATTTCAAATGGCACTTAGAGGCTTTTGCATCTGAACTCTTCATTTTATAACAAGTATCCGATTCCAGAAGCAAAAAATGCTTGTTTCCAGTCCAAATATCTAAAAACTCTTAAATTAAGACGCATTGACTTGATGAGTGAAATACCAGAAGATATTATGTCTTGTTTTCTTGGGAAATAAATAAAAATTAAGTGAGATTTTGCTTAAAACAAGTAAAAGCAAAATGATTGTTTCTGTTGGAATTGACATTATTTTTCTGAGGTCATTTTGTATTTTTTAAGCATCAACTCACTCAATTTAGTTGAGAACTGATGTGATTTTACTCATCCAGTGAATGCAGTAAGCCTTGAGTAATGCTGATCATCCATCAAACACATTAGAGTCGCTCGCCCATAATCACTGCTGGAGAGTGAGCAAACTAGATTTAGAGGATGGGGCGAGTGAATCTGCTGATCTGGGGTCTGTGATCAAGGCATCTGGGGTCTGTTGTGTCACGGCCAAGAGGAGATGATAGCGACTCGTTCGATCTCTTCTTTCTTCGGCTGGTGCAATCAATAGACGGGGAGAGGGGGAAATCATGCTAGCGAACACAACATGCCCACGCCACACTCCTTCCATAGCGCAGAGAACAGGGCATTGTGGGAAATCTTACCGAACAGCTGTCCCTCAGCGCGTCGAACTTGTGTTGAATCTCATCTCTGTGGGCCTGAAGGTGGAAGACACACACATGATCAGATGATGGGCTGTATGTCAGTGTGTGTCGTACAGAGACAGCATCTGCTCAAACGCTTTTGTAAATGTTAGTCCATGTTTCAAAAAAATAAAATGTTTTCATGACCCTTTAAAGGATTAGTTCACTTTTGAAAAAACTTTTGCTGATAATTTCCTCATCCCCGTGTCATCCAAGATGTCCATGTCTTTATTTCCTCATTCGAAAAGAAATGAAAACATTCCAGGATTTTCTCCATATAATGGACTTCAATGGGGACCAAATGGTTCAAGGTCCAAAAGACAGTTAATAACAGTTTCAGATGCAGCTTCAAATGTCTTTAAACGACACCAGACGATGAATAAGGGTCTTATCATGCGGAACGATCGCTTATTTCAAAACTTATTCCAAAAATGTAACTTTTCTAAGGACAAATGCTAGCCTTGCTCTATTCTGTGAGGCGCGTTTGTAACGTCACGTAATACGTAATTATGTTCAAAAGGTCACGGGCGACGTAGCCGGAAGTACAGAGTCAAAATCGTCCGACATCGTTGTTTTACCTTTTAATTTCCTTTTTTTGTAAACGGCGTTTGAGTTAGTTTGCACGTTCAACCTATGCGTTCAACTTGTAAACACTGACTCTGTACTTCCGGCTACGTCGCCCGTGACCTTTTGAACGTAGTTACGTATTACGTGACGTTACAAACGCGCCTCACAGAATAGAGCAAGGCTAGCATTTGTCCTTAGAAAGGAATAAGTTTTGAAATAAGCGATCGTTTCGCATGATAAGACCCTTATTCATCGTCTGGTGTCGTTTAAAGACATTTGAAGCTGCATCTGAAACTGTTATTAACTGTCTTTTGGACCTTGAACCGTTTGGTTCCCATTGAAGTCCATTATATGGAGAAAAATCCTGGAATGTTTTCATCAAAAACATTAATTTCTTTTCGACTGAGGAAAGAAAGACATGGACATCTTGGATGACACGGGGGTGAGGAAATTATCAGCAAAAGTTTTTTCAAAAGTGAACTACTGCTTTAACACCTTCTCTTTGACCTTTACAATTAAACAGCCTGTTTTTGGTTCTTCATTGCTAAGGGCCAGAGGAATATGTCTTAGAATAAATGTGTGTGTATGTGTGTGTGTGTGTGTGTTCACTAGGGGTGTGTGTGTGTGTTTCATCGACTAGTCGACTAGTCGACTGTCACAACCACTAGTTGGCGCTGTTGGCCTTAGTCGACTAGTCGGAAACAAAATGATGACATATGTACAGATATATTTTTTGTTAACTATCCCTTTAAATACAAGCGGCAGTACTATATACTATAAGCACTATAAGGCGCACCTTCAATGACCTATTTTAGAACATTTTTCAAACGTTTGACTGGGTTTGCGTTATGCATCCACTAGATGTGCTAAAGGGAATGCAGCGAGTGCGCGGCGTCAGACGTGAGGCGTTTATTTAGCGTGAGCGCGCTGGGGCGGGCACGTAACTTACATTCGCAGCCAGCTGACAGCAGTGTCTGTTCGTGTGTGTTAGAGAGAGCGCTCGTGAGCGGGAGATATTTTATACAAGGTTGAACTGGCCGTGTGACAAAGCGGGCAGAAGATGGACAGGAGCGCGAGCAATTGATATAATGCGCTCCGGATTATAACGCTTGAGAAAAGGCCGGATTGAGAAAATTAAAGGCTTTTAAGTGCGCTTTTATAGTGCGGAAAATACGAGTACTCTCGCTTTTAGACCAGCACGCGACGTGTTTAATATAGACGCATATTAGCCTACACCAGATTTTCTCTCAAATGTTTGCTTTCACTTTCTATATGGGGAGGCTGCACTTTAGACATAGCCAATTCTGTTTATGTAAATATTGTGTGTATTTAACAGTATTAGCATAATAAGACTTAGTCCAGCGCTGTTTGACAGGCTTCTAATGCCTGTGAGCGTCGGGGAAATGCCGCGCGCTCAGGAAAGCGCACGTTAGAACAGCGCGTGAATTAAATGTTTAACCGGCAAGGCTTATGCAAACAATGAACTTTTGTGAATTGCAGTGTCCCGTACCTATTCATTAACGTGTGATGTGTAGGCTACGTCGCGTTGTACAGTTGAGAGGCGCCAGAACTGATAGAATGCACTGTAACACGATACTACTACGACCATATTTCTTCAAAAGCAGATCGTGGAGACATTTACTATTCGTGATGTCGCACACCGCTAGAATAAACCATTTAACGACTAGTCGACTAGTCGTCGACTGTTATGCAAAACTAGTCGACTAGCAAAAATCAGTAGTTGTGAAACCCCTAGTGTTCACCCTGAGTGCAGTGTGTGTGTGTGTGTGTGTGTGTTCACCCTGAGCGCGGTGATCTCCTCCTCGGCCTCGGCTGTGGTCTCCTCCAGCTCCGTCTTGGCCTGCTGTAATTGGCTCTCCAGCGCGTGTCTCGCGGCCTGAAGACTGCAGATCTGAGACTCTCTCTCCTGCAGAGACAGCGTGAGCTCTGTCACCTGACGCTTGATCTCCAGCTTCTGCTCCTCGTGCTCCAGACCCATCTGAAACACACACACACACAGGTTTGTTATGCTACACTTGCAATGGATTTATACTGTATATTCTGCCCCAACACTAACCCTAACCCTGCCCATCACACACACACACACACAAACCCGACCCCCAAACCTGCCCACCACAGAAAACTTTATGCATTTTTACATTTAAAATAAAACACTGTTTAGTAAGTTTTTAAAACCATTTTAGCCGTTTTGAGTTTCAGAGCACGTCGTGATTTTGGAGACGGCTTGTGGAAGATGTGCACCCGACGACCCCTTGAACTATTCCCACTATGGTTCAGACTGTGGGATGGAGTGTCCACAAATGAATTACTAGGAGTGCTACTTGGTTGTTACAAGGTGTGTTCCTTTGGTGCTTTTCAGTTTGGAGATCCAAAGTGTTTCCCAGATAAACAGTAATCCTGAGGCACTCAAAAGGAAAATAAATATAAAAAGCCTTTATTTAAACTTGGCTATCCATTAAAAACATATGCCAACATGTTTCGGCCTCATTGGCCTTCTTCAGGGCAAATTCAATATGGCAGTCAATAGACTGCAAGCTATATATCTGCATGTAGTCACATGACCTAAAGTCACAGGTGCTCATCTGCACATATCACCTGACAAAGAGCAATAGGAACAACTTACTTTAGATAAGACAAATCACATTTACATATCAGGATAGTTTAAAATATCAATATAAATGGATACATATAACAAGAGGTTACTATATATGGGATGGAGTGTGTTGTCCCGTGGAGGCGAGCGGACCCTCTCACCTCTCTCAGTCTGGTCTCCAGCTCCAGGATACGGCTCTTCCGGCTCTGCTCCTGCTGGCTCATCTTCTCCAGGTGTTCCTCTAGTTTGGCGTTCTGGGCTTCTAGTTTTCCCGCCTGAGACTCCAGGTAAAACTTCTGCTGCCGCAGCTCTGAGATCATCTCCTCCTGAGCTTTCCTGGAAACACACACACACACACACACACACTGGGGTTACAGGCGCATCTCTGCACATGATCTTTGTGCTTACTTTAACACTTTACTTGAAGGGGTGTGCTGTGCATAAGACTGACATGACACCTTCATAATACATGTCATGAATATGAAATAGGGTTTATGCGTGTTAATGACCGTCATTAAGTGTCATTCACTCAATTATGACATTTTTAATGCAAATATGACGCCTTTATTATGACATTACCGAGACAACACAACCTGTCATAAACATGACATAGCAGATTAATGATCAAACTTAATTTAGCACTTAGCTCTATGGGTTAACATTACATTAAACTGTCAGGTGGTTTTGACGTTGGCTGTCATGAGTCATTATAACATTTGTTAAATATTGCAGTTCATTCGTCACCCATTAAATCTAAAACACTTCATTTAAGCGTCAAATCAAAGTTTGTAATGTGATTTAACTCGTAGCTGGATGATTCGATTTTTTTTTAAAGTCCCCCTGTGGTGTAAATCCAGCGTTTAATGTTGTGTATGTGGTGTTTTTAATACGCTTAACCGTGTGTAAGTTGATAAGTGGACAGCATTGCTGAGTATTTCCTCCTTAAAACTGAAAACGCGTCTCAAAAACACGCTTTGAAATCGCTGGCGTTTCTGACGTCACAAACCACCTTGTAACCAATCAGATCAACGTGTGATTGTCAACCAGTGGATCTCTGAGTAAGTGGAGGCGGGGCTCATTTGCATATTCATAGAACCGTGCATATTAAATGAGGCAAGGGTGTCGAGTTACAGTCAAGATATTTTAAGGCATGAAGATTTTTTTAAAGGAAAAACTTGTCATTTTGGTGATTTGGTGACAATTATTGACTACAGGGGGACTTTAAATAATGCTATGAGATGTTTTAAAAATGATATTTTGAATATTAAAGTTTTTTTTTGTGCAAAGCGAGCGACCTACTCGTGTATTATCGTAGAAATGACATATCGCAGACTGTCAGAGAGTCCATTAAATGATGATTATAAAATATCTATTCTAAATTCACTTAACCAGAGTGACTTCTGGAAAACTTCAACACAATATACTGACCCGCGTTCTGTTTTCTATCATGTGACGTGCACGTAGGGTTGGGTATCGTTTGAATTTGAACGATTCTGATTCCGATTCCTTGTTTTGATTCTGGTTCCTAAAGATTCTCGATTCCGATTCTTTTAAGAGGCAGGGTCAAAAAAGTTTAGCTAACCTTGCTAACCAACGGTCTTTCTAAAGGAAATACTCCTTTTGTCACAAATTTTGCATTTTGCCGAGATTTTGTTATTTTTAGAAAGTGAAGCCACACTTTGGACCGCCGACGTGAGCTACTCATGTTCGACTCGCGCGGTTATGCCAACACTTCCGGTAGACGCATCTTCGTTGGTGTTGTTCAGCGATTTCTTCTTCCGGTAGGCGGACTGTGAATATCAAAACTAGGAATTGAAATTTTAACTTTTGAACGATTCCGGGAAAAAAGAAAAGTTAGTCCCGGTTCCAATCGATACTCGATTCTCGATAACCAACCCTACGTGCACGTTAATCCACCAGGGTCTGATACAATTGAGCGAATGTAAAACCAAACCAGCAGCCGGAACCATAGCACTCGGGCCGATGATAATAAACCAGTCTGACCGCGCCGGTTTCTGGCGTCTGAGATCATGTGTTGTGTGTTTCGAGATCATGTGACGTGTTGTCTCTTACATGTTTTTGTGTGTGTAAATGCTGCTGTTGGCCGCCAGTTTGTTGGCCTCGGAGAGCTCAGAGATCCGCTGCTCCAGACTCTTCATCTTGTTGTCCATGGCGTTGATGGTCTGCAGAGAGAAACACGCTCAGGACACAGATGCTCGCTGTTTGAGGAATACGACACGTTGTGCACAAACACACAGCATTGAAAATACGATTTTCAAGCAAAAAGTCGAGAATTTTTATATTTATAGGTTTTATTTTTATAGAGTGAGAATAAAAGTCTAGGATTTGAACTCTTGAAAAAGGAAAAGATCATTAAAGGACGTTTTTGATTAAGGGTTATGCAATTTATACACTACCTTTAAAAGTTTGGGGTCGGTATTATTATTTAATGTTTTTGAAAGAGTCTCTTCTGCTCATCCAGGCTGATCAAAAATATTGTAAAATATTATTCCAATGTAAATCATCTGTCTTCTATGTGAATATACAGTAAAGTGTAATTAATTCCTGAATTTATCATCATTAATCCAGTCTTCAGTGTCACATGACCCTTCAGAAATCACTCTAATATGAGGATCTGATGCTCAAAGGTTAATTAAAATTCAGACAAAATCAATTATTTTATGGCTGCTAATGATAAACTCTTCATAAGGAAAACTTTAATTTGTTATATGGTGTTCTACCTGCAGTTTCACACGGTGAGCATGTGAGTCTGAGATCAGCCATGCTAATCGAGTTAGCTAAAGTCTAGCGGGTTAACTGGATGAAAGGCTTGAAAATGAGAAGAGCTAATGTCACCCCAAATATCAAATGATACATTTATAAATTATATTTATTATAGGGCTGTGAAAAAATTAATTGCGATTAATCGTATCCAAAATAAAAGTCTGTGTTTACATAATATACAGTATTTGTGTGTGCTGTATATAATTATACACACACATGCATGTATATATTTAAGAAAATGTGTTATTCATATATAAAATATTTATATTTATATAATATAGATTATGTATTTATATATATACAGAATTTAAGCGCAAATAATTCTTAAATACATACATGCATGCATAGGTATTTATATATACAAAATAATTATATACAGCACACACAAATATATTATGTAAACACAGACTTTTATTTTGGATGCGATTAATCCCAATTAATTTTTGCACAGCCCTAATTTATTATTACCATGAATCAAGAAATTATATAACATCATTTTAATATAATGTACATAATATTTAATGTTTAAAATCAATAGTGATGCACAATATATCGGTATCGATAGATAATGTATTATTCCTTCAGCTGAGACGCTTCAGATGCGCACTGTTCAACATGATGATTATGAATTGTTTGAAATATGATTGAAATAAAGTCGGCTATATAAAATGATCATGAGAACATAATTGTGCGTTTGGGACGGGGATTTTACTGGTGAGACTTTTGTTTTTGTAATCAGGCTCTTAAAAATTACATAGAAATTTGGCTTTAAATTTATCGGCCGATATATCGGTTATCGGCTTTCAAATATAAAGAATTATCGGTTATCAGCTTTCAAATATAAAGAATTATCGGTTATCGGCTTTCAAATATAAAGAATTATCGGTTATCAGCTTCCAAATATAAAGAATTATCGGTTATCGGCTTTCAAATATAAAGAATTATCGGTTATCGGCCAGAATGTTCATTTCTGTGCATCTCTAAAATTAAACATGTGAACTCATCAGAGAACACATTCATTTATTACCCATAATAGATGTCATGATTATTAACTAATCATCTGGTCGTGGTTATGCAGTTATTTAAGATAATTACATTTTGCCATCTAAATAACAAATTTAAGTGCTCAAAATGCACAATATTGTGCATCTTTTTCCAGTGAAAGAATAAAGAATGTCATAAAACGCTGTTAAAAAGTGCACAAATATATGAATGTTTGTGGGTTTATTCAGACTGCATTAGATTATGTTATAAATAATTATATAAATACTAATATTGCAGCATTACGGTAAACCATCATTTATATTATTATTAATTATTTTATATATGGTTTCAAGCAACAACAAAAAAAAAAATCATGTATCGGCTTACACTGTAAGTGACACGAATAAAACCGAATTAAACCACAATAACTCATAAGGCAACTAACTCCTGATGTGACGGGCTTCAGTCGTGAACTGGATTCTAGTAGTTCAGACGATGGGATTGAACGAGTGTGTGTCCACAGCAAACACAAGCGAACTCCTGAGGAACACACGAGACACTCACTGCTTTCTGCTCACTGATGAGTTTGCATTTCTCACGCGCCTCTTCCTCGTGTTGAGCTCGCTTCTGCTCCAGACTGTCTTTATCAGCCAGATCTGCCTTCATCTGAGCCTCCAGGACCTGCACACACACACACACACACACACACACACACACACACACATTGAGGGGCTGTTTACACCTGGACACATTAGATAGCTATCCAATTTAACAAAACGATTTCATTTACACTTGGCCACATCAATGTGTTTTTGCAAAACGGATATAAACCTGATCTTCAATTCTCGCTGCAGATTTAATGGAGCGCACGTCACCGAAAGCAGCTGCTGCATTTTATTGATCATCAGCTCATTTTAAAGTCAAAAGAGAGCAATATGAGAGCGTTAACAGAACTGGTAAGATTATTTCGTTTCTTAACTTTTAACCAAGATCTCAACCCCTTAACTGTCACCGTGCTGGTACCGGGACGCCTAACTTTACTTCACTATATTTCTATTAAATTCTAATCTAATTATGACAAATTATATATTGAGACTTCTAAATAAATATTCTACCCCTGTTTTGTGTCACAAATTATGTAGGAAGAGTAATTGATGAATTTATGACAAGAGTGCACCTCAAAAAATCTCCATCATAACAGGAGGTCTGACCTTTGTCACAAAAAGTCGATGCACCCTCTTTTAATCATTGAAACTTCTGTTTTTATGCTAAAAATTCATAATAAAACATATAATCTAGTAGTTTCAATAATAAAAAAATATAGTATAATATTATCCTCTAAAAATTATAATATATATATATTATCCTCTAAAATATAATATTATTTTTTATCGCCTTTTTTATTATATCACATATTTTAGTAGTTATCATAAATTAGGTATCATTTGAAAGCTTATAAACTCAGAATTCAACCTGTGAAAACATTGCGTTACCATAGAAACAGTACTTATATTATCAGGCTCCTCCCCTTTTGGGCATCATTATATTTCATAATTTATGATCAAAACCCTTTCTAATCTTGACAAAACACATTGTCAGAAAGGTCAGAGTCTCAAGGTTCCAAATTTTGTGACAAAATTGATATTTGGACAGAAATGTATTAGGAATGTATACAACTTAATTCAATGGAATTCAATGGCTCCCGGTGGCTATTTTTGGTACTACGCCTAAACAAAATCTCATGGGTACTTCAATTTTTGTGATATCAACTTCAAATTTGGAACATAACTTGGTTAGATTTATGGCTTTGATTGTATTTTAATTTTAGAGTAAAAAATATTTTGTAAAATATATATTTTATGTATAATATACAATTGTATATTTGATTTACTGTGAATTTAAACTTCCATAACTTTTTCATTTTTTGAAGCGTTTTATAATCTGCTGAATGTTTTCTTTAAAACCAAAACTTGGCTATATATTCCATAGCATTCTTGAATTTTAACTATTTAAGTGTGAATAGTGCGTTCTCAAAAAGGGGGGTGACAGGTAAGGGGTTAAAGAATCACTTTGATTTGCGATAACATTGACGTTGGCTTGATGAATAGGCGCTCAGCTGCTCATCTGAGGTGATGCGTGTCGCAGCAGCGACGTCATATCTGACTATAACATGACATATAGCCTATAACGCCCTCACACATTTACTTTTTAGCATTTTTGGGAAGAGTAAAATTTGCATATGTGGTTTCAACAACCAGATGCGTTTACACTTGTCCAGTTTCATATGGAAACCGTCCCAGACCTCCTCCTGATGTCTGGAGTGCGTTTCGGAGGGCGTTTACACCTGGTCTTTTCACGATCCGATACCTACCCGATCACAGAACACGCATGAAGTGGCCAGGTGTGACCAGCCCCAAACACATCAGCATGATCACTCACATAATGAACCTGATCAACTAATAAAATGAGAAGAAATGGATCTGAAAGTGATTCCGCATGACAGTTTAATGTAATGTTAACCCATAAAGCTAAGCGCTTTCTTAAAGTAATTGTACCCCCCGTACAATTGTGTTTTGTGTGTTCAGAGTTGAAAAACGATACCCTGTTTTATTCTAGCTTCCTGCATTCTTTTTTATCAACACTTGAATGTGGTTTAGTTTCATAAACACAACAATCTTTTGAGCCAAAAGCTGAGAAAATTGTGTTTTAGTCAAAGACTCCATCCAGATCAGATCCAGAACGATGATCCACACACAGATGGAGTAGATCGAGTCGGTCACAGGGTCAACATTTCACTCAGTAACATTAGGCACTTTAGATTTATATGCCTTTAATGTTGATGGCGGGGAGAGAGTCACTTTTAAAATAAGGAAATTAACCCTTGTGCATCAATTAAAAAAAGTTACACATAGGTAAAAAGAGGACAAAAATGTCCATGTCAAAAAACTGTCATAAAAATGTGACGCTTCGGAGCACAGACTTAAGTTTGGTATCATTTTAAAGAAGACCCTTTGCAAATTATTGCTGAAGTAAAATAATAATAATAAGTAAATCCAAAAAAAGTTATATAGGTATAAGTTTATGAAAATTATTTATAAAATATATATTTTATAATTCAGGTTGAACTCAAAACTGCAATAAAATCCAAGGCATGAATCTAAATAGGTTGTGTTCCAAATTTGAGGATGATATCTCAAAAAATGAGCTTTGGGTAACAGTTTGTTTGGGCGTAGTAACATCTTTTCCCCACTGGAGCTCACAGTGATTGGATTTGAATTTGCAGTTTTTCTCTCTCAGTATTACAAACACACACACATATTTTTTTATAACACACATACTAAACACACTCTTACATCCATACCAACACACCCACACAAATATCGTTGCATAATTTATCCAGTTGGCTCTATAATATGCCGAAGCAGAAAACAGGAATAAAGCGATATTTGTTTTATAGGCCAAACTTAAAAAAGAAAAAAATGGCACCATCTGATAAAACATAGTAAAAAATAAAATTTTGAAGCATTGCCATCAGAATGAAAGCCTCTTAACAAAGATTGCATAATTTTATAGTTAACTGAACCGGGGATTAAAAAATGGCGGTTTCAATGGGGACATTTTTGTCCAAAAGGCGCTGAGAGGGAGTATTTTTTGTACCTAATGCAAAAAATATATTTTTTAAGGAAATGACGGTGAAATAGTAAAATTCCAATAAAAATACACACCTGTGGCAAGTTTTTTGCAGTTAGCTTTAACACAGGCAAAGTGATCAAAAAAACAAAACTGAAAAGGACAAAAATGTCCATAAGGATGCACAAGGGGACATAAATATGGGGATAAAACGATGAATTGTGATTTTTCAGACAAATCTTGATGTGATATGCCCACCGCTAGTCACTGACAGCAGAACAAAGTAGCGATGCATCCGTCATGTTCCTCTTTCATTAACAGACTGACTGGCACACATGACTCTGACTGGCATTAGCTTCATTTCTATACCGTATTACACAATACATATTGTTTCAAAGCAGCGTCACAATAATGAACGAGAAAATCACAGAATCAATGATGCAAACTTCAATTATTTTGCTGTAAAGCCGCTCTGAAAAGATGTGCCGTTATTCCAGGGTTCATACACATCCTGTCAAATTAAACTCCAGGACAATAGAGTGCCGAAGTTACGACGTCACTCTGTAGGCAGTTAGCATTTTAGCATTACGGTTCCCTCGCTCTAAAGCCTATGGGATTGTTGAATGGGTTTGTGCTAAATGGCCTGAAATAAGGTCTGTGGTGAACAAATCCTCTAAATATTTTCACGTTTTGATCTATGACACAGAACACACAGTTATAACCTGCTTATGTTTTTTTTAAACTTTGTGTCTGATTGTGTTTTTTAAAATCTTTATATAGGCTTCAAAATGTATAAATTTTGGATTAACTTGTAAAGATTATCTTGCTAGACAAAACGTGTAAGGGTCACAACTCTTTGTTGAACACAGATCTTATTTTTTGCGATTTTCCAAAAGTCTATGGGGAAAATGCATTGCTTTTCGACCGAGGGAACCCGTGCGCCGCTAGCTTCCGAGTCGTCCTACAAAGTGACGTCGTCGCTTCGGCACTCTATTTAGGACTTTTAAACACTACTTTTATGGTTTTCAAGGACTACAATCAGAAATTGCATTTATCAAACAATAAGGATTTTTTTACAGATTATAAGGTATCCAAAATACAACTTATTTAATAATATATATATTAAATATAAAGTTTATAAAGGCTATTATTGTTCAATAAACTATATTTTATACTACCATGTTGGCATACTTTGCATTAAAAAATTGTACATGTTTTTTCTAAAAAAATAACTCTAATTTCATAAATATTGTATTTAAATAATAAAAGCACCTTTGAAGGACCTCTTCATAAATATGGCTGTGTTCAAGAGTCAAGAAGTCAGATTCAAGCTCACTCCAGCCGTAAGCAGCTCTACAGACGACACGTGTGTGTTTATTCAGCTCAGGTCAAACTCTACCTTGATTTTGTCCTCGTAGAGCCGCTCTTTCTGCACCAGATGAGCTTCCATCCTCTGCGCCGTCGCCTGCGTGTCCCGCAAGTTTTCCTCCAGCTCCTAAACACAAACACACACACACCCCAGCGTCAGGTAACACACACACACAGAGAGCGATGTTTTAAAATCCCATCAGCAGGAGAAGTAAGTGAAGAAATGGACTTGCTTTGAGAAGCCGTGTGCTGGACGGGCCGGCCTGAAGGTGTGTGTGATCCTCATCGAGAGGTGGAGAGGGGTGTGTGTGTGGCAGCAGATGGGACATCTTGTTAGTGTGAGTGTGTGTTCTGTTGTTATATGCTAATCTGCAGGAAACTCAGATGCACAAGGATGACGGTGCAAAGACAAACGTGACTAGAGGCCTGTGTGTGTGTGTGTGTGTGAGTTCAGCAGGTTAAGGAGGCGTGTAAGTGCTCTAATCTCTGCTAGTCTGATCCGTCTCTCTCACCAGTATCTTCTCGGCCATCTGTTGGATCTGCTGGGATTTGGTCTGGATGTCGTCCTTCAGTTTATTCTCTCGGCGCTCCACCATCTCCAGACGCTTCACCTGGTTTTCCAAAGTCTTTCTGCCCTCCTGACAGCACCAAAGTAAAGATTTAACACTTATCATAGATTCAGGAAATCACATGAAAACGGTCGAAATCATATTTCGGATAAAGAAACTGTTACTGAATGTTCGAGAAAATTAAGGATATTTAACCCCCAAAATATCATCATTACTGTAATTCAAATGTGTATTAGAGCAAAATACATCATGGTAGTATTTTTTATTAATGAAAAATGTAATATTTTTACTAGGGCTGTGCAAAAGATAATTGCGATTAATCGCATCCAAAATAAAAGTCTGTGTTTACATAATATATTTGTGTGTGCTGTATATAATTATTTATGCATGCATGTATATATTTAAGCTTAAATTCTGTATATTTATAAACACATAATCTATATTGTATAAATACAAATATTTTATATATGAATAACACATTTTCTTAAATATATACATGCATGTGTGTGTATTTATATATACAGCACACACAAATATATTATGGAAACACAGACTTTTATTTTGGATGCGATTAATCGCAATTAATTTTTGCACAGCCCTAATTTTTACTCATGAAGGATACGTTATATTGATCAGGTGACAGTAAAGAGATTTATAATGTTAAAAAGTTGTTTTTTTAACAAAAATTCTGGAAAAAAACAAACTTTTAAACACTGATAATAATACTCATAATAGTTTCTTGATCATCAGATCCTCATATTAGAGTGATTTCTGAAGGATCATGTGACACTGAAGACTGGAGTAATGATGATCAATTCACAGGAATATTCACATTTACATCATTATAATATTTTACTCTTTTTGATCAAATAATGCATGCAGAATAGACACTAACATAATAAACACAATAAACATCTTGCTTATTGATAAATAATTACTATGTATTGATTAACAAATGTAAAGCGATACATTTGTTACTGTATTTGTTAATCTTTGTAAAAGTTAGTTAATAAAAATAAAGCTATTCATTGTTAGTACAATATTTTAATAAAGTATTAGTAAATGTTGACATTAAAATTAACTAAGTGCAGTTCATTATTAGTTCATGTTAACTAATGAACCGAATCATCGAATCAAGGTGTTAGCGTGACCTGATTTCTAGCGGATTATCTGTGTGCGGTGAGGGTCGCACCTCGGTCTCCCGCAGGCGTCTGCGCAGTGTGTCGCTGGGGTCAGATTTACTGCGCAGACGCTCCAGATCTCGCTCCAGACGCTCTTTGGCCTGACGGATGTTTTGCAGCAGCTCCGTGGCTTCAGTGCTCGCCTTCACCGCCTGCGGGGTCAGAGGTCACACATTAAATATGTGACCCTGGATCACAAAACCAGTCACATGTCGCACGGTTTAGCCAAAAATGCACTGTATGGGTCAAAATGATCAATTTTTATTTAATGCCAAAAATCATCAGGATATTAAGTAAAGATTGTGTTCCATGGAGATATTTAGGTCATTTCCAAGTAAGAGCAAATATACTGTAAGACTGCAAACGAATTAATCATATAAAATATTGAATATTATAAATGTTACAGTTTTCAATCTACGACCTTCAGATCCTCTAGGGGACAGTGAAGACATTTATACAGTTTTTTTATTCGCTTTGGTACTATTTTCACAAGTAAGGTGTACATTTTCAAAACTCTTAGTGCTAATATCATCAAAAGTGCACTTTTTTCAACCATTTCATCATGTTTTCAACTGTGTTAGTACAATTCACACAATCACAAAGTATCCTTTTCACAACACAAAATAAGTGTTTCATCTACATTATTGTTTCATTCACAGTAAAGCTCTTACTATCAAACTTTTGATTTGCATCTCGTTTTGTTCAGTTTAATACTTTTGTCTATTATTTAATCCAACAGATCTTAATGGTTAATCAATGAATCATTTGGTAAACCTATAGATTTTCATTTCAGCAATATACACTATATGGATTTTGAGAACTACAGAAATAAAATGTGTGTTTGTATGAATATTTACAGTAAATTACATGTAACCACACATGATGAATACTCGTTATAGCTAATTGATTTCACATAGTGGTAACCACAATTGGCCACTATATACAGTAATGTGTGCACTAAATGTTATGTTTTGTTCTCATTTAGTTACATTTCATTATAGAAAGTATACCTATGTTACAATTATATCTGAAAAATAAAAACTATAATTTGCCTAAATGATTGTAGGGGATGTCTTCATTGATCCTTACAGTAACTTGATTACATATATGATGGATATTTGGAAATTATAGATTATGTAAATGTTGGGTACTGTAAGTGTATTGCCTAATGTTACAGTAAAACTGTGTAATCTGTCTTTTATAGTACTGTAGCATATTCATTTCAGCACTTCTAAGGCCGATTTGAAACATGAATCTCGCATTGTTTGCTGTTGGATGAACTGATTGTTAAAAGTACTAAACTGAAAGAAGATCATATTGTTGTGTTTCAGTGATTAAACCAAATGTTCTCATTACATATTACAATAATCTTGTGTTTGAAATAATGATTATGTGGACTGAAAACATGTGCAACGGACTGAAAGCATTACATCAGGTTTTGAAAGAATGACGAGCTGCGTTACAAGTGTGATCAGTTTGGGTTTTTGTACTAAGAGTTTTGAAAATGTACACCTTACTTGTGAAAATAGTACCAAAGCGAATAAAAAAAAAACTATGTAATGTTACAAAAGATTATATTTCAACCAAATGCTGTTCTTTTGCACTTTCTATTCATCAAAGAATCCTGAGAAATAAAATGTATGACTGTTTCTACAAAAATATGAACCGTTTTTTTTCAACACTGATAATAATCATAAATGTTTCTTGATCATCAGATCATCATACTAGGATCATGTGACACTGAAGACTGGAGTAATGATGATAAATTCAGGAATAAATGACACTTTACTGTATATTCACATAGAAAACTTTTAAGTTCTAATATTATTTCAGATTTTCAGGACACGCGGTACCTTTGAGAGTTTGTCCTGCAGCTCCTGGATCTTCAGCTGCTGTTCGGTGTTTGTCTGAAACACAGAATCCTCATGAAGTCGGTCGTGAGTCACACACACACACAGCAGATGAGTGTGTAATTAGAGTTATAGACATGTTCAGTTATTGACAGAGACGTAACACTGATTCAAAGAGGCGTTTAGCACCAGGACGGCGAGGAAACCATAGAGATGATCTCAGTGAAGTGCGTCTAAAACTACTGATGTGTGATTTATCGCTCACTATATCATGTGTTAATGTCCTTATTTATTATTGGCATCAGGATGATATTGAACACAAGTAATATGAGGGCTTTTGTGTTCCTGCAAACCTGGAAAACTCTCTTCATTTGACAGGATTCAAAGTAGCCTACAGAACAATGGCCCATCATGATGCACAAACAAAACAAAAAATTAAATACATAAATATATATTAAATAAATTAAATATATTAAATAAATAAAAGAAAACGAGATGGACAGGAGGACACCTGTCGAGGCTTTCTCCGTGTATGGCACAAGATGACAAATAAAACATTCAATTAAGCAAAAAATATAATCATTTAAAATAAAAGAAAACACAATAAAACATGGCCCATTTTATAACAAAATAAATAAATACATAATCAATAAATAATTAATCCAATTAAAAACAATTTAAATAATATAATAAAATAAAACATCAAATTAAACATCAAATTATTCTTGAATAATGTTGATATTTTAATCTGTGTTGTATGTATCTGTATTTATTTGTGTCGGGGGACTGCAGATGTAAATTAGCCTAAGGCTAACTCTGGTGTAATGCATCAAATGTTTACATTTATGTTATTAATTGCACATGGTCCCTTTTAAATAAAAATCAATCCAATCCAAACAAGAAATAGAATGAGATTTCTCTGGGAAAAAAAAAAAAAAAATTACTTAAACAATAAATAAAAAATAAATATAATAATTGAAAATAAAATAATAAAAATAAAACATTAAATTAAACAAGAAAAAAAAAATGAGCTTTCCCTGTATTTGGCCCAAGATGGAAATTAAAATATAACAAAACATAAAATATAAATTAATAATAAACCGTAAAAAAGTGCCATGTTATTGGTAAACTCCCCTGCATCTATACACAGCTCTGGCGATGACCGAGTATCAGCAGTGCTTGAATTTCTGATATTAATAGATCAGCTTATCATCACATAATATAAAAACATTTATTCATACAGAAGTGTGTCCTCTCAAAACTAAACTACTTGACCGGAGAGAGATTTGAGTATGAAGAGAAAGTGAGCATCATTGAGGACGATTGACACACACTTATCTGAGTCTAATCTGATGACGGATGAATTATTGCTTTCAGTCATTCACGTCGAGGGACACCAACAGATTTCTGATGGATTTCAGTCGTGGTGTGTTTGTACCTTCTCGAGTTTAGAGAGCAGCTCCTCCACCTCCGCTTTGCCCTGTTCCTTCGCCTGAACACACACACACACACACACACACACACACACAGGATCAGAGTAGATTGCATAAGTTCAGCATTATATCTAATCATGCATATTCTCCATCATTAACGTACACATGAACCGGGATTACAGGGGCAATAATCAGTAATGTTTAAACCAGGGCCACACACACCCTGTGGAGCCGGAGCCGTGGCCAGGACTGTTTGCGGCTAACACACACTGTGTGCAGCTCCTCCATCCAATGATCACACACAGCTTTGAGCTGCATTACTTCTGATCACAAACAGTCTCTGCTTTCAAATAGTTTTCCAGATTTCCAGAGTGTGTGAATGTGTGCTTGCTTGTTTGTGAGCATATGTGTGTGTGTGTGTGGACCAATAATGGTTCTTCCTATATCTAGACAGCTATACAGTGACCAAGTACTATAGAGCACACACACACACACACCTTCTGCATCCTCTGCTGGTACTCGGCTGCTTTCCTCTTGAGGTCTTCGCTGGTCTGTCGGGACTCTCTCAGCTCGGTCTCGTACAGGTCGCTCCGTCGGCGGGCGGCAGAGAGATCCTCCTCCAGCTGTCTGACGGTCACCTGCATCTCCTCCAGCTGAGCGTGATACTCCTACACACACACACACACACCCCGAGAAACATCAGCTCAAATATGAAGTTCATGCATGTTCAGCACCTTTACGCACAAACAGGTCATGTTTGTGTCTCACACACACACACACACACACAAATGTTTCAGTGCAGGACGAAAACACCGGCACAAACTCCAGAGGGATCTGACGTGGTACACTTGGTCATTCACACGCCATCGAGTTCCCAGGTTGTCGTCACAATTGTGATCTTGTCATTCACACTCTGTGTGTGTGTGTGTGAGAGAGAGAGAGTGAGTGTAAGTTTGTGTGTGTGTGTGTGTGCGCGTGCGAGTGTGTATTTGAGTGCGAGTAAGTTTCTGTGTGTGTGCGCGCGAGTGTGTATTTGAGTGAGTGTGCGTGAGAATGTGTGATTGAGTGCTAGTGTGAATGATTGAGTGTGTGTGAGATTAATAGTGGGAAAATATTTGTAAAATTACTAATTTTTCACTCGGGTTGAGTGATTCACTTCATTATTGGATGATTCAGCATTTTTGAACAAATCTCTTGAGTGAATGATTCAGTGACTCACTTAGTTACTGGATGAATCAGTGTTTTTGAACAAATCTCTCGAGTGAATGATTCAGTGACTCACTTCATTACTGGATGATTCAGCATTTTTGAACAAATCTCTCGAGTGAATGATTCAGTGACTCACTTCGTTACTGGTAAATGGTAAATGGACTGCATTTATATAGCGCCTTCATAGACCTAATGGCCACCAAAGCGCTTGCCTCACATTCACCCATTCATACACTCATTCATACACCGACGGCAGTGTCAGCCATGCAAGGCGCCAGCCAGCTCGTCGGGAGCAGCTGGGATTAGGTGTCTTGCTCATGGACACCTCGACATTTGGTCAGCTGGAACCGAGGATTGAACCACCAACCTTTCGGTCCGTAGACAACCCACATGAACCACTGAGCCACTGCCACCCCAGTACTGCCGTGTTTTTGAACAAATCTATTGAGTAAATGATTCAGTGACTCACTTCATTACTGGATGAATCAGTGTTTTTGAACAAATCTTTTAAGTGAATGATTCAGTGACTCACTTCATTACTGGATGATTCAGCATTTTTGAACAAATCTCTAGAGTAAATGATTCAGTGACTCACTTCATTACTGGATGAATCAGTGTTTTTGAACAAATCTCTTGAGTGAATGATTCAGTGACTCACTTCATTACTGGATGATTCAGCATTTTTGAACAAATCTCGTGAGCGAATGATTCAGTGACTCATTTCATTACTGGATGATTCAGCATTTTGAACAAATCTCTCGAGTGAATGATTCAGTGACTCACTTCATTACTGGATGATTCAGCATTTTTGAAGAAATCTCTCGAGTGAATGATTCAGTGACTCACTTCATTACTGGATGAATCAGTGTTTTTGAACATCTTGTGAGTGAATGATTCAGTGACTCACTCATGTTTTAACAGTCTCTTGTCTCCACCTACTGGTGTAACGATGTAATGATTCAATCTTTATTTATAGCGTCATGTTTATTTATAGCGTTACTGTAGACATCAGTGTTGATATCTTAACTATAAACTTTTATCCAGCACTTCTATGATAATCTGAATGAGTGTAAGACAGAAATGATGATACTCATTTGGGAATAAGATCGTGTGGGTGTTTGAATCAAGATCATGATCACGATTCATCGCGCAGTTCTAGTGTGTGTGTGTGAGAGAGAGCGAGTGAGTGAGATTGTGTGTGTGTGTGTGTGAGTGAGTGATATTGATCGTGATCTGGATGAGATTTCCTGAGACGTCAAGCAGGTTGACACATAATGACTTCAACGTAACGAGAACAAAGTGTCTAGCATGCTAATAAACACTAACAGAAGCTTTACGGTAGTGTGTGTGTGTGTGTGTGTGTGTGTGTGGGATATACATGTATACAGACAAGCTGAAAAGATTTCAAACTAATCTGGAGAAATTCTACACATAAATATATCAAAATCCCGCCACTTTGTGATTAAGCCTTTTTGAGATCCCAGCATGCTCAGGGTTTACACCAGCGCACACACAGAACCAGCAGAACTCAGACAGCATGTTTGCCTTATGACTGTGAAAAACCATTGAGACATAATAAACTTCATATATATATATAGAGAGAGAGAGAGAGAGAGATATTTGTGGTGAAGTGAGTGTGTTCACCTGCTCCTTGATCTCCTGGAGTTTGTTGCTCTGTTCTCTGATGTCATGGAGGAGCTGGAGAGCTTTATCATCTTCCTGTGACACTTCGACTCGAGCCTGTTCCAGACTGCGCTTCAGGCTCTACACACACACACACACACGTTATGTTGAGATGCTGGAACGCAAGGTCAGAACACAAGATGACCAGCGTGCCAAGAGTGGCTTTATCAGTGAGTATTTGCATTAAAGGCGGGACATCGAGAGCGCAGATACGACGTCAAGACAGTTTTGCTGTTCTAGATGCAACAAAACAACAGATACGTCCATCAAAGAGTGTGTGTGTGTGTGTGTGTACTGATAAAGTCCTGCCTTGTCAGACACTCCCGGTACACACACACACTGTGGGCCTTTCTGACTAGAGCCAGACCGATATTATCGGCCGGCCGATATTAGGCATTTTCCATAATATCGGTATCGGCAGTTATAATGGCCGATAAATGAATATTTAAAAAATAAAATAAAAACGGACAAAACACGCTTCAATCATGTCTCCTTGGCCTGTTATATTGAAAATGTATGTTTTAAAACTTGCAGTATGATGTTATCTATTGCTCATCATAGACTAGCTAACCACAAAGCTAGCTAACGCCACTATCATCAGTGGAAGACCGCTAACGTTAACATTAATGAGCTTGGAAACCACAATGAACTTTTTCTGCCTAAATAAAGTAATTATTACTGTATTAATAACTAGCATATCTCTAGTTACAGTCCCTGCATTGTAAAATGTAAGTTATACTTGCGAGGAGTGAACATTTAGACATAGAGAAAAAGTATCAAACGTATCTTGTGCAGAAAAGTTCGCTTTTCTTTTACACGTGTGTGAAATCCAACAATATTTAATAATAAAAAAAAAAAATATCGGCCGATATATCGGATTTTAAAACCCAAAAATATTTGTATCGGTATCGGCCTTCAAAATCCTTTATCGGTCGGCCTCTATTTCTGACCAACCAGCAGATCACCAGCTAATTAGACCAATTCAGATTTATATGCAACTGACCTAAATGGCTGAATATGTTAATTATGTCTAATACTGAAATATGTAGTCGAAAGATTTAAGTTAAAAAAAAAAAATCCATAATGTTCTATGCATATTTTGGACAATGGGGGGCGCCATTTTAGTTGTGCAGTGCATTCTGGGATTTTTATGTTTTTTCTTTATTAGAATTTTTTTTCAAAAAAAATAAAATAAATACTGATATGATGTATTGTATGTAGGATTGTGTTTTACTCTAAAAGGTACTTCAATAATCTTTGTCTTATTTCCAAAATCATCATGTTACAGTGTGGCGTGTGATGCGATTGGTCCGCTGGTTAGTCCAATCAATCACATGATCTATTAAGTCACATGTGCATCCAAGAATTTATTCAGTAAATGTGTTTCTATCGTAGTTTGTGCATTTTTTATCAAATAAAAAAAAAAAGATTCATCTTATTTTAGAGAATGCTATCTTTATGCACATTTTAATATTTTTTTTACATTTTTTAATGCAATATCCCACGGTTGACATAAAAGCACAGCTATCTGTCTGCTGGTCCACTCACGCTGCATTCGGTGATGTAGGTGGCGAGGTCCTGTTCCAGGATGCTCCTCTGGGTCTCGGAGGCTTTGAGCTCCACATCCTTCTGCTGGAGGACTGACTCCAGGTCAGTCATCTTACGCTGAAACCGCGAGATCTCCTGCTCCATCTGAGCGGCCACAAACACAAGCACCAGGTCTAAATGCATTTTACAGCAGCGCTCAGACAACGCAAACACAACCTGTGCTAACACAAAGTGGCGACACTTTACAAACGGTTTCGTTCTCCAGTGAACGTGTTTGACTGTACACATGATTTCTGCGGCGCGGCTGGACTTCAGCTTGGATTTAACTGGGAATATCCCAGTTATTAGCGCAGTGTTCATTCAGAATAGGTGTGTGTGATACTGACAAAAGAAATCAGCATCTAAATATTTAGTCGATAAGGATAATTACACAATATTTTCCTAAGTGTGTTTTTGTACCGTGGACGGATGGCTCTTTTACTTTTTATAAACAGAACTCGTAAACATTTCAATTGAACTAACTAAGGAATTGATTTCCAGGTGCATTTGTACGTATATAAGGCCCTTATTAGATACATCCATCATGTCAAATTCGTGCATTTAAATCAAATTCAACTGGAATAATAAGACACTATACACCGATCAAATAAAATCAGTATCAACAGGTAAATATATACAGGTGAAACCGTGAAACTGGAAAAATGAGAATATGGTGCAAAAGTTCATTTATTTCAGTAATTCAACTTAAAAGGTGAAACTAATATATATATACTCATTACATGCAGTGTTGGGTGTAATTACTAGGTAATTAGTTACTGTAATTTAATTACTTTTCCATTGAAAATGTAAAGTAAGGTATTACACTTCATTTATCTGTAATTTAAATTACAGTTACTTCTGATGTAATTGAGATAAATATCGTGTGTGTCGTGTTCGTATGCATTTTATGAGGTGTCTAAATTGTCCGACTGCACTTTGTACAAATTCATATGAATTCGTAAAATATGTATGAAAAAAGTGTGAAATGTCATGCGATCAGACATAAAACAATAGTGGGTTTAACATCAAAATATATTGTCTGATGTTAAAAAGTATGTTTTTATAATGTAACCTTCTCCACCTTGGTCAGTTTAAGGATAATTCATGCAATTTTATAGTATTTATTTGAAAGAATTAAAACTGATTCATGTCTATCCTTCTATTATTCAGCTGGTTGAGATTGAAATGGGATTTTGAAAGTAATTAGTAATTAAAAGTACTTAAATACTTTTCAGAGAGAGTAATTAGTACAGTAATCTAATTACACTGTTGAAGAGGTAATTTAGTAACTAGTAATTAATGACTTTTTTAGAGTAACTTACCCAACACTGATTACATGCAAAGTGAGATATTTCAAGCCTTTATTTGTTATAATTTTGATGATTATGGCTTACAGATATGAAAACCAAAATTAAAATATTGTGAAAAGGTTTTGGAAAAGGATGGCATTGGGGTGAGTAAATCATCAGGAAATGTTCATTTTGAGCACATTGTCGCATTTTTCTTCTAGAAACGAACTTTGTTGTATTATTTCCATGTTATCGCTGTGTTATATAGGTAAAGGTGGCTTGACTTGACGTGTCTCTGCGCTCTTACCTTGTGACATTTGTCTTGAGTGTCTTGCAGTTCTTTGCTTTTGATGTGCAGTTTTTTTTCCATGGAGTTGGTCTTGGCAGGAGAGTGGAGTCCTGCGCCGACCGACCTGACGACACAGAGAACAACGAACCCATATTCACCACAGCAGAACATTAACACTCATCCAGAGCCCATAATATACAGCCAGGAGAGAGTGAGTGCTTGTTTTCTTTTCACATTCATTACACACCCCATTAGTTTCATGTGAATTCATTATTCAATTCAACACCAAAGAACATAACCTTTACATTAGGCTTGGGCAGTATTACGGTAATATGGTATACCGCGGGATCTAAAAATAGCAACGGTATCAGTTTCTTATAAGACAGCTGAGCAATAATTTAAAAAAAACACATGCAAACCTTAAGACTGAAATTAAGATTGTGAACAAAAACAAACAAACTATATTGACTGTTTTCACACGGGCTTGCCAAACTACCCTCCCACCTCGTTGACTCCGCCCCCTGTCAGCTATTGGTCCGTCAAACACACAGACTCCTCCCACTCACACCACTGCCCGTTTACGCACAGGTTTGCCAAACTTTCCTCCCACCTCGTTGACTCCGCCCCCTGTCAGCCATTGGGCAATCAAACACACAGACTCCTCCCACTCACACCACTGCCTGTTTTCACACGGATTTGTCAAACTCCTCTCCCACCTCGTTGACTCCGCCCCCTGTCAGCCATTGGTCCGTCAAACACACAGACTCCTCCCACTCACACACCACTGCCTGTTTTCGCACGGATTTGCCAAACTCCCCTCCCACCTAGTTGACTCCGCCCCCTGTCAGCCATTGGTCCATCAAACACACAGACTCCTCCCACTCACACCACTGCCTGTTTTCACACGGATTTGCCAAACTCCCCTCCCACCTCGTTGACTCCGCCCCCTGTCAGCCATTGGTCCGTCAAACACACAGACTCCTCCCACTCACACACCACTGCCTGTTTTCGCACGGATTTGCCAAACTCCCCTCCCACCTCGTTGACTCCGCCCCCTGTCAGCCATTGGGCCGTCAACCACACAGACTCCTCCCACTCACACCACTGCCTGTTTTCACACGGATTTGCCAAACTCCCCTCCCACCTCGTTGACTCCACCCCCCGTCAGCCATTGGTCCGTCAAACACAGACTCCTCCCACTCTCACACCACTGCTCGTCGTCAGCATAGTAATATGTGGAAAGCATCACAGACACTCTTCAGGAAGCCAAACTACTGTTGGATTCAAGTTGAAAATGTCTCTCAGAGGATTCGAAGACAGAAAGAAACGCCTAAATATAGAGAAGCGAACGCCTACGACGGCATAAAAAGACATGTGAACCTTAATACAAACCAACAAAGACAGGAAACAACTCGAGCTCCCACATGCATCATATGTCAGTGATTCAGAACTGAGTAAAGTGTGTCTGACGGATGAATGCGCTCCAAAAATAAAGAGTAAAATCCCAGTGGCCGCACAAACACAACAAACATTACACTAACGGAGAGAGAGAGAGAGTAAAACGGACACAAATACTGCAGCGGAGGGCCAGAGCGAACCAATCGGCTCGTGAATATCGGCCGTGCTGACGGCTCGTCCACCGAGAGCAGAACCAAACAACAATCACCACCTGAAGAAGAGAAAACACATCGTTTCCTAACTCTATACAGGGATAATACGGTGCTTCAATCTCCATTTCTGGAGCTTCTTCAGGAATAAATTAAAGGATTAGTTCACTTTTGAAAAAACTTTTGCTGATAATTTACTCGCCCCCGTGTCATCCAAGATGTCCATGTCTTTCTTTCCTCAGTCGAAAAGAAATGAAGGTTTTTGATGAAAACATTCCAGCATTTTCTCCATATAATGGACTTCAATGGGGACCAAACGGTTCAAGGTCCAAAAGACAGTTAATAACAGTTTCAGTGCAGCTTCAAATGTCTTTAAACGACACCAGACGATGAATAAGGGTCTTATCATGCGAAACGATCGCTTATTTCAAAACTTATTCCTTTCTAAGGACAAATGCTAGCCTTGCTCTATTCTGTGAGGCGCGTTTGTGACGTCAGTAATACGTAATTATGTTCAAAAGGTCACGGGCGACGTAGCCGGAAGTACAGAGTCAGTGTTTACAAGTTGAACGCATAGGTTGAACGTGCAAACGAACTCAAACGCCGTTTACAAAAAAAGGAATTAAAAGGTAAAACAACGATGTCGGACGATTTTGATTCTGTACTTCCAGCTACGTCGCCCGTGACCTTTTGAGCGTAATTACGTATTACGTGACGTTACAAACGCGCCTCACAGAATAGAGCAAGGCTAGCATTTGTCCTTAGAAAGGAATAAGTTTTGAAATAAGCGATCGTTTCGCATGATAAGACCCTTATTCATCGTCTGGTGTCGTTTAGTGTCACGGGCCCACCGGTGGGCCCAAATCCATTACATTTTTAAAACAGTATTATCCTATACTAAATCTAAACTAATCTTGACAAACTATACATCATTTGAATGCTTAGAATCTCTAGTTTTCATATTTGGTGATTGGTTTTCAAAATATATTACAGAGGAGCCGTAATTTATCAATTTGCAACAAGAATATTTTCATACTCTTTCATACTTTCATACTCTAACCTTTATTTTGAAATTGTGATGAACATGAAAAATCATGAAAGAAGGGTAGAAACCTGTTTGTTTTCATGCCAAGAGTCCAAAAGAAAGCCTCCATTCAATTATTTTATAATTATAATAATTATTATTTCATATGGAAATGGAGGCGCCCTTATATGGGCAGTAATGGAGTCAGGTTGTGCCCTAGTGAAAAAGTTTGGTACTGCGCCCAAACAAAATCTCACTGAAAGCTCATTTTTTGAGATATCAACCTAAAATTTGAAACACAACTTGTTCAGATTTTTGGCTTTGATTTTTTTTAGCAGTTTTAGAGTTGCCAGGTTTTGAAAATATATATTTTATATAAAATATGAATAATTAAATTTTTTATATTGTACATTTTCATAAACTCAAACTTCTATAACTTTTCTGTTTCACATTCTTAATTTCTTTCACTTCTACAAAAATCTGCCAAATGTCTTCTTTAAAACGAGACCATTTTTACGTCTATATTCCAGAGCGTTCTTGAATTACAACCATTTAAGTTTGAAATTTGCATTTTCATCTATATGACACTTAAGGGGTTAAAGACATTTGAAGCTGCATCTGAAACTGTTATTAACTGTCGTTTGGACCTTGAACCGTTTGGTTCCCATTGAAGTCCATTATATGGAGAAAATCCTGGAATGTTTTCATCAAAAACCTTAATTTCTTTTCGACTGAGGAAAGAAAGACATGGACATCTTGGATGACATGGGGGTGAGTAAATTATCAGAATTTCAGCTTTTTCTTTTGTTTCCGCCACCAAATAAAACATTTTTTATAAAAGATTATTGCGACGTTTTATCTCACAAATTGCATGTTTATATCTCGCAATTTTGACTTTTTAATATCAGAGGAAGAGCCTGATGCTTCAAGACCCCCTCGAGAGCATCTAAATGCGCACAGCAGATAAATAATCTTGATTTCGGCGAGGTCTAGCGAGATTAGAGGTTCTGCCTGTACAGCAGTCCATTACCCACGCGTACGCTTACAAACTTCCCTTCAGAGAAACCGACGCGTCCCAGGGCTCGGCCCACAACCGACTTCATAATTGGGCCTTTAAGTGTAATTATAGGATATGCATTTCAAATTGAGGATGTAGGGAGAAAATAACCTGCGATGGGGAAAATGTGCCGTTTAGTTGGCATCAATAAAGGTTTCAGGTGCAATTCAATTACAGCATTAACATCGAACTATTTTTGCACTCAAACACTTGAGAAGCGTCTCGCTCTTTCTGCCTGATGTGGGCGTCAGCTGACGGATGGAGACACACTCACCCGTTCTGCGAATACAGAAGCCATTGATCTGCAGGAATGCATTGCTTATTCTTAGCTCGACCGGCGGACGAAGACGAGGCTGACTCACGGCTTGTGTTCGGTTAATGTTCTCCCAGCATTCCTGTGGTGTTCAAACATCGATCGGCCATCGAGAAAGGTCAAGTAAATGAGTGTGGCAGGCTCCTCTCCTGGAGCGTCTGCAAGATGAAACAATCCCTGCATCCACCATTACGGTTCTTTAAATCTGTTTATCCCTTCAAACTCATCTTTGATCACCAAAAATGCTTTTTTTCCTTGTCTTCCCGTCTTAAAATATCTTGAATGTAACTCGACACCCTTGCCTCATTTAGTGTGCGTGGTGTTATGAATATGCAGATGAGCCCCGCCTCCACTCACTCAAGTTGATCTGATTGGTTACAAGGTCGTTTGTGACATCAGAAACACCAGTGATTTCACACCGTGTGGCTGTTTTTGAAAATAAATTACCGAGGAGCAGTAATTTATCAATTTGCAATTCAGGCCTTTATTTTTAAATGACAACAAACATGAAAAATCATGATAGATTTGTAGAGACCTCAGTTTGTTTTCATACCAAGAGTTCAACCAAATCAATGGTTACGTTACAGATTCTCACGCAAATATGTATGTGCTCTTTTTATGTGTTTATTAGAGGTTAAATTTAAACAAGATACAGCCAAACCACCCATACTACTTCTGAATCGGATGTCTACTTCATAAATCGCATGAAAATTATGGAAATACATGTTTCAGATCTCTCAAAACATATGAAAATGGAGGCGCCCTTAAATGGTCAGTAAGGAAGCTTGGCTGTCCATCTAGTGAAAAAGTTTGGTACTGCACCCAAATAAAATCACACTGAAAGCTCATTTGTTGAGATAAAACCAAAAACATGTTCAGATTTTTGGCTTTAATTTTCTTGCAGTTTTAGAGTAAAATATATTTTGTAATATATATATATATATATATATATTTTATACAAAATATAAATAATTAGGGTATATTTTTTACATTGCACATGTTCATAAACTTCTGTTTCACTTCTATAATTTATTTCACATCTACAATAATCTGGCAAATGTCTTCTTTAAAACAAGACCAACCACAGGTCTATATTTCCAAAGCATCCTTGAATTATAACCAT